AAGGACAAGTTTAACCCTGATGAACTATTCAACTGAATTACTGAAAGACTGAAAGACTGAATTATACTGTTCTAGTTAATCTCTCAACATGCAATTATATTATAGAATCCCTTTTTATTGAAATCGTGATTCCCGGTAATAAGAACATAATAGTCGGCGTGATATATCGACCCCCGAGTTCGAATGCACACGAATTTTTATTGTATTTATCTGACACATTACAAAACGCCAGTTTCAACAAACAAGATTGTTTTTTGATGGGCGACTTTAATATAGACCTGTTAAAGCACTTACATAGCAATGTTTCTCAAGAATTTCTCGAAACAATTTTGTCTGCTTCTTTCTTACCACTTATTTCCAAGCCAACTCGTGTTGCAAATACATCTGCTACTTTAATTGATAATATTTTTTCTAATGTTACTCCACATTTTGATTCTTACATTATTCTTTCGGACATATCTGACCATTACCCCATTGTGACTCACTACACGGTTTCAAAGCCATTTAACAACAATGGTCCTTACCCAAGTAGACGTAAAATAACTGTAGAGAATTTAGCTCGCCTTGGCGCTAATCTCGAAAATACTGATTGGTATAGTGTTTATTCCGAAAATGAAATTAATTGTTCTTATGAAATGTTCTCTAGTATATTAAACAACCAATTAGATACTAACATGCCGAAGCAAAAGGTCAAACATGGTTATAAGAAAACGCCCAAACTCCCTTGGATTTCTAAGTCTATATTGCGATCAATAAATCGGAAGAATAACCTTTATTATAAATATAAAATAAAAGGCACTGAGCAATCAAGGAGAAAATATACATCATATAAAAACATTTTGACTCGGATTATTCGATTAGAAAAGAGAAATTACTTTGTAAATCGTTTGAAACTTTTTAAAAATGATATGCAAAACACTTGGAAGGTAATCAAACAAGCAATGAACCAAGTTAATAATAAATCCGAGGTAAATAAGATCAAATTTGATAATGAGATTGTTGAAGACCCAAAATACATAGTTAATATTTTTAATACTTATTTTTCTTTAATAGGTGATAATCTCGCTAAAAACATTCCGCCTTCAAACACAAATTTTGTGGAGTTTTTAGGCCCTCACAATCCAAATTCTATTTTCTTTGTTCCAACTAATAGGCAAGAAATTATGAAAATTGTTTCTAGTCTGAAAGATAAGAAAAGTTCAGGGTATGATGGAATCAATAATGTCATACTAAAATCCATTATTCCCTTTATTGCAGATCCATTGGTTCACATCTTTAATATATCACTTTTACATGGTAAATTTCCTAATTCTATGAAAATAGCCAAAATTATTCCGTTATTTAAAAAGGGTGATAAATTGGATGTGGGTAACTACCGCCCGATTTCTTTATTATCTTCATTTTCTAAAGTTTTGGAAAGAATAATCTATATCCGGATGATGTCCTTTTTGAAAAAATATGATGTATTTTCAAACTTCCAATTTGGTTTCAGAGAAAAGCACAGCACCGTTCATGCTTTAATGTCTTTTGTTGAGAAGGTTGCCCACGCAATTGATACATCGTCACACACTGCAGGTATATTCCTGGACTTCTCCAAGGCCTTCGACACGATCAATCACGAAATTTTACTTTACAAACTATCTCACTATGGTGTACGTGGAAAGGCCTTGGAGTGGTTCAGGAGTTACCTCTCTAACAGAAAGCAATATGTACACTTAAACGATCATGCATCTGAATTATGCAATATTAGTTGTGGTGTCCCACAAGGTAGTCTGCTAGGCCCGCTTCTCTTTATTCTTTATATAAATGACTTTTGTAAATCGTCTAACTCCCTGTCGTTTATTTTATTTGCAGATGATACTAATTTATTTTTTTCACACAAAAATCCAAACGTCCTTGTTGATAAAATCAATGCCGAGTTATTAAATATATTGCAATGGATACAAGCAAATAAATTGTCACTTAATCTCCAGAAAACCAGCTACATGCTATTTAGTAACTCTTTGGATTCATTACCCTCTGACATTATTTTTGACAATACCCCTTTGAAACATGTCCCTATTACCAAATTCTTGGGTATAACAGTTGATGATAAACTTTCTTGGAAACCACACATTGATAATATTTGTAAAACCATTTCGCGCAATATTGGTGTTATTAATAGACTAAAATTGTACTTACCGCAATCATCATTATTTATGCTGTATTCTTCATTGATCTTGCCATATTTGAATTACGGTCTTCTAGTTTGAGGCAATACACATCATACACTGTTGGAAAGAGTTCTATTGCTGCAAAAGAGAGTTATTCGTATTATCTGTAATGCCCCCATACGCTCCCATACGGATCCTCTGTTTTTTGAAAATAACATCTTAAAAATTAAGGATTTGTACTTATTTCAGCTCGGTCAATTTATGTTTAATTACAATAAAGGTATACTGCCCTCTGTGTTTAATGATATGTTTCTTAAAAACCATGCTGTTCATAGATATCCCACTCGACAATCCGATGAGTTTCACTTACCTCTTTTGAGAACATGTTCTGCACAGAACACGTTCATTTTTGAAGGCCCTAAATTTTGGAATACTTTGCATAACGATTTGAAAACTTCCCCTTCACTAATTGCTTTAAAAAAAAAGTTAAAATTTTCCTTATTACAATCTTATAATATTTAGAAAATTATTGTGATAGAACATGTCCTTCCCAATTTTGTTTTCTTTCCCTCTTTTCTTCAGCCCATCTCAAAACAAAAAACTACTTGCCATCATGTTCTTGCTCTTTTTGTTTCAGCTATCTCAAGGATGTTGTGCGCTCCCTATTTCGTGCTCGATCTCTACAACTTTCCTTTTCTCTCACTCTCCTTCCCTCCAAACGCAGCCCGCATTTTTGTTCCTTCCCCCCCTTTTTTTTTCTTCTTCTTTTTTTCTGTTCTTTCTTCGTCATGTAATTTGTTACGTCTTCTTGTTTACAGTCATTACGTGTTTTAATAAATGTTCTCTGTTGGCCACTATTCTTCTTTAATTGATTATGTATTCAATATTTTGTTCACACTCATTATTATCTGAGGGGTCCACAATTTACAAGCTTTGCTTTTCAGTGGACCTCTCCATTTTCTCAAAATATAAATGCAATTAAATTTTAAAATTCATTTTTTTGTCTTCCTAAAATGTATAAATTATTATTAAGATTTGTTTTTTACCAATGTAACTATGTTTTGAATACATTTTACATTGTATTCGTTATTATGTATTGTATTTTGTTGGAAATGAAAAAATAAAAATGAAATGAAATGAAATGAACTGTCCATGTTCATCCGTAACTGCACAACGCCAAATTCAACAGTAACCCACTAACGGACACCGAGGGGCAAATAAGTTTTGTATAACTCTATGCCTACTTCCAAGGTATGATATCCAAGGTATGATAATAAGACACATAATTTATAACGCGAGCGAGCGTAGCGAGCGACCTTTTGGCGAAATTAATGAAAAAATTGCTCTTGGTTGCTTTAATTTTGAGCACATTTTATGGTGGAAGGACAAAGGGCGCATATCCAAAAGAAAAATGACACTTATAGAAAAGAAAAGGAGCACGTGTCAAAGTAAAGAGGGCAATTATCAGAAGGAAAATGGCATTAATTAGGAAGGATAAGAGGACATGTGTCAAAATAACAGGGGCACTTATTAGAGATAAAAAGGGGCCCTTATTACAAAGTTAAAGAGGACGTCTCTCAAATTTGAAAAAGGGCACTCACCGGAAATGAAAAGGGGCAGTTACAAGAATAACAAGAGGCAATTGTCAAAATATAAAGGACACCTCTCAGATTTGAAAAGAGGCAATTATAAGAGGTGAATGGGCATTTATCATAGGTGGTAAGGGGCACTTCTTGTACCTGAAAGGGCGCACTCATCTGAGATGAAGAGGGGCACTTTTTACAAAGGAAAATTGTCACTTGTCGTAGCAAAAGTGGCACCTATGAAATTTCAATAGAGGTATTTATCAGAGGTGTGAGTAGAGGCATTTCTGAAAAGGGGAGGTGGTTCTTATTTAAAAGAGGCATTTATCAGAAGGAAAAAGGGGCACTTATTAGAAAGAAAAAGGGGACACGAACATCAAGGATAAAAACGGACACTTGTCTTATCCGAAGAGGAAGGGGCACTTATTACAAAAGAAAAAAAACACTTGTTAAAGTAAAATGGGCACCTTTCAGATTTGAAAAGGGCATTTATCAGAGGTAAAGGATCACTTGTCAGAGTTGGTAAGAGGCACTTATAAGAATGTGGAACGATCGAGCAACCTACATGACATTATAAAGGGGCGCTTATCAGAAGGAAAAGGAGGCAATTTTCCTAATTAAAAAGAGGCACTTAATTTAGGTTTTTTTTTGCCTGACTAAAAATCTGGGAATTTGTTATTTTCCAACGAAGGCATAACAAAAAGTATAATTTACAAAAAGTAAGGAAAGACCCGGAAAATCATGTAATTTCAGCAACATTTGTAAATGACTGGTATGATGGTATCGAATTAAAAATAAACCACGTTCGTTTTTTTTTTTTTTTTTTTGGGGGGGGGGGGGGGGGGGGGCAACTGGTAACAAATCCATCTTTCAATCTTCCGGAAAATAATGCACTGGGTTATTTCAAGTGCGGTGTCGAATGCTGGTGACCGTGTTGGTGTTACGATGAAAACACCAAAACCAAGCTTGCAATCACCGAATTTTGTGTTGCAACGTGATGAAGCAGAACCTATGCATTTGATACCAGGCGTGCGGTCATTGTTTTAATGATGTAAAAATAGGGCACAAAGTCAGCTATAGAACCTTTATTTTCATTATAACTATAACATTAATGATAATGATAAATTAAATGTGCTTAATTATACTACTCTAATTTAACACAAAAGTAATTTGGAGAGGAACCAACCAAGTACAAATAATAAGATTCTATATAAACGCTATCGACTTGAAATAGGCTAAAACCCGATTACAATGCTATGACATCATTTTTCTCCATAACAGGCCTATGTACACAGTTCACTTTTGTTTAGAAAATACGAACAGCTGAAGATTCATCCAAGGAAACAAAATGTCTGAGAAAAATAACTGTACCAACGGAAGAGCTAAACGTCCATTCCTCATAGGAGTAGCTGGAGGTACTGCTTCTGGAAAAGTAAGGAATTGTTTTTCAAATCTTATTTGCTGTAATTGAAAAGTGAGATTATTAAAGCGGGAGACCGCGAGGTCGTTGCAATGCGAGGGAAACGTGTGGATGAGTGCGTTGAAGATAACAAAAGCACGTGTACAAGTGAATAGGGAACGTGTACGTGGATAATGAATGAATGAATAAACTAACTGTGACAGAACTGTGTGTGGCTTGTGAATACGTGTAACTTAAAAGATGTTCCCTCATGTCTTGCTTACGTTTATGTCTCTGAATCATGTTGGATTTCTGTTGTTGAATATCTGGTAGTATTTTATTCTAGCAATTAACATGTGTTGATTTAAACCAGAACTTTCTTTCCCATGCCCATGCCCACGCCCACAAAGCACAAGTTTCATGCCATTAAATAATTGAATCGCCAAGTACACACCACTTAATATGTACAGACTCTGAAAGGTTATTGCCGTGAAAAGGGCTTAGTTTATAGCCATGAAAAAAGCTTAGTTTATAGGCAATAGCTTAGGGCATGATTATTTTTATTATCCCTGCAACTTTGCAAGTGCAAATGAAATTGAGAAAATGATTTTAAAATTAAAACTAAAATTTGTAATTTTATGAAACGTAACAAAACAGCAAATGAGAAACTTCAGTTTTGGATCAAATCATAATTTCAGGTGGTAAGAAAAATGCCCAGAGGAGTCAAAAACATTAGTCAAAATTGAAATTACTACCTCTTTAGACTTCAAATTGCAAAAAAAAAAAGTGACCCAACCCCTAGACCGAAAGCTTCAGTCTCTATAATCGTCGGTTGTTCCACTGAGACTACGTCTGGCTCCACTAGACCTCCGGTTATAGAGACAGAACGACTGCCTATGCCATCCTGTGTTGAACTTATTCCGCTAGATTTTAGCCGCTAGGCCCCTCCCACAAACTTGCCACGGCCGTATTGTTATGCCCCCAAAATCCCCCAAAATGTCATTTTACCTCGTTCATTTCCAATTTTAAATTAGGCCTAGGCTATAATACATCGGTTCCACTTACTAACTTGATTGATATAATCCGTTTAATGGTCCCTTTTAAGGAAATTATCGGTCAAAATCGACATCCATGTTGAAAATCTTGCAAGCCGTTCACTGCCGTCAATCTCATCCCCTCTAGTCTACGCCGAAGGCAAAATGATTAGGAAGGAAAAACTGTGCGCCATCTACACGTTCGTAATGGCGTTATCACAGTTTTTCCTTCATAATCATTTTGCCTTCGGCGTAGACTAGAAGGGATGAGATTGACGGCAGCGAACGGCTTGCAAGATTTTCAACATGGATGTCGATTTTGACCGATAATTTCCTTAAAAGGGACCATTAAACGGATTATATCAATCAAGTTAGTAAGTGGAACCGATGTATTATAGCCTAGGCCTAATTTAAAATTGGAAATGAACGAGGTAAAATGACATTTTGGGGGATTTTGGGGGCATAACAATACGGCCGTGGCAAGTTTGTGGGAGGGGCCTAGCGGCTAAAATCTAGCGGAATAAGTTCAACACAGGCTGGCATAGGCAGTCGTTCAGTCTCTATAACCGGAGGTCTAGTGGAGCCAGACGTAGTCTCAGTGGAACAACCGACGATTATAGAGACTGAAGCTTTCGGTCTACCCAACCCCCTGTTTGAATCATTTTCAATAACGGGCTCTGGAGCTCCGACGCCTTTGGCATCGACGTCGGCGTCGGAGCTCCCTGGGGTTCACAACAAGCTAACATTGTGTCGCTCTCAAGAACTGATACCTCTGTTTTTACACTTTTCAGGTGTCATTTCTGCCATAATTTATTCCAAACTGTTACAGATCTTCATTTCATCAGTATCATTGTTACCAGAAATTAACCTACATTTTAAATTGCTCTCTGTCTCCCTCTCTGTGATCATCCTAGTCATCAGTATGCGAGCGTATAGTGGAGGCTCTTGGCCAGCAGAAACTGGACAGCAGACAGCGTAAGGTGACGGTCATCAGCATGGATAGCTTCTACCAGGACGTGGTCACTAACGAGGCTGCACCAGGGTCTTACAACTTTGATCATCCAGGTAGGAGCTTGACCATAGACTAGTGGATTGTTGGGAATGGGAGGGGGGGGGGGGTACAACTGTCTGCAGCAGGTCCTACAAATTTGCCCTTTTTTCTAACCAACTTTTTCGTCTACTCCTCCTCTCCTCCCCATTCTTCTTCTCATTCTCCTTCTTTTCCTTCTTTATCCTCTCTGTCTTCTTTCCTTAAAAAAAAATATCCTGGGATTTTTTTTTTCTCCATTGTTGATGATCTTGTTTTTGTTTTTGCTTTTTGCATCAGTACATAATTTAGTCATGTTTGACTATCAATTTACCATATATGCCACAATACACTGTTTCTTCCTGCAACATACCCTAAATCTCCGTGTATAAGGTGCACCTGTGTATAAGGCGCACCCCTATTTTGGGGCAAAAAAAAAAAAAAAAAAAATTGTTTTTTTTTTTTTTTGTTGTTGGTTGTTGTTGTTTTGTTGCCGCAAACCCATGCAAGGGAAGGACCTTCATTTTACATCGAGGTGCAGTTGAAGGCGCTGATTTGTGCTTGTGAACTTGTCACAAATAATAGTAACAATGTAGTTTTAGAAGAATGTGTAAGTTCATTAATGTAAATTAAAAACAATAGAGTACCTATGGTACCAATGGTGTACCTTGTGGTACACCATTTGTTATAGAAAAAAATATTTGAGGAATTATTATTATAAACTACATATTGAGATCTATTAGAAAGATTACTTTCAAACCAAGATGACAGACAAATTTGAGTGTTGTCATAGTTTACGAATGGTGAGTCAACACAATGATTACTGAGCTGGGAGACATTGCCAGGCAAAGCGCCATAAATTCTGTACCTGTGTATAATACGCACCCTCGACTTTCAATTTTTTTCGGCGGCAAAAAAGTGCGCCTTATACACAGAGATTTACGGTATCACATTTTACTTTTTTTAAACTCTTTTCTTATTTGTCTTGTCTTTTTGTCCCTTTCTTTAAATAATGACCACTTTTTTGTTTCGTTGGATAGATGCTGTTGATGAGAAGATGATGAAAAAGACCTTGTCTGAGCTCCGAGCCGGTCAGCCTGTCAGAGTGCCCGTTTATGACAAAGTCAAAAACTCAAGGTGATTATGTAACCCCCCATTACTTCAATATATATCAGGGTACCTTCACTTCCATTGATGCAAAGTTTGTTGAAATCATGATATGACTGTATTATTTCATTATAAATGACATGTGCATACATGTACATTGCATACCTCTGCTCCAAGTCCCTTGGAAAAACAATTGAGTCTAATATTGCTATGCCGGATAATGCCCTTAGCAACATTTCATTGTTGAAATTTCTTGTCTTAATAGATCAATATTGTTAACCCCCATAAAAAGATTGAACAGGAGAATGTACATTTAATACAGGCTGATGATATTCATAAGCAAGGGAAGTGATTTTGTTACCCTCCCCCTCCCCTTCCTTGATAAAAAAAGGAACTTGACAAAAATGAAAGAAAGAAAACAGTTCCAATGCTTGAATATACAATTTGCTGTCATGACCTTCATCTTTAAATCAGTATTATTATACACAAAAGTATCAGTGGAATCAAGTTTATTGTTACCATCCAAAAGAGAAGAAGAATTATCTTGCTTTACATTTCATTTGTTCTTTTGCAGCTCCGATTATTACTATACATCACATTCACATTCAAAAGAACTCAAATTATCATTGCAGAAATGTAGAGGCTCACTGTTGTTCCTTTTCTTGCTATTTTCAGCCATTTACAGACAATTTATTTGCAAAGGAAAAGTGACCTAATTAAACGCGGCTCATGTGTGAAGTGCCATTGGCCTGCATTCCAACTTCACACAAACTGTACATGTTGCAATAAAGGGGTATTTTTAAGCGGGAGGAGGTTGATGTCTTTGGCAACATTCCAAAGTGCTACTTGTTTCATTTCAAGAGGAAGTCCAGGCCTCTGTATATTATACCGTAACATTACCATTAATACTAATGAAAAGGGGAAGTCCATCTATGAATGATGACATTGTCTTCTTGTATTTTAAAAGCTCATATCACATTGATGTCACATCTCTATATGCTCCCAAAAGAGTTTGGATGTTATTGATAGGTTGGTTTTATTAAAAGCAGAAAAATGGAGGGAAAAAAAGAATAAGTAACAGTTTTAGGAAAATCCAACAACGATTAAGAAACTGAAGGTCAAATTGATCAGTCTCAAATAGGTAGCTCTGTGTCTGTGACTTAGACTATCGTGCAACACTCCCCTTTACTTTTTACTGAAAATTTCATTAAAAAAACATTTTATGCCTGTTGATGAAAAATTCTTAAGAATTGAACACGTATGTAAAAACCTTTCCAATGATATACATAATAATATTATTAGTTATAAATAATTATAATAATATAACATGTAGGGCAAAGGAAAGTCTCTCATTTTCTTTGTTAAAATAGTTAAAGAAATGTTATAAACAAAATGTTGGTACAAACACACTAGTAATGTCGTACAATATTGCATTTAACCTCAGCCAACTAAACTTGACGATCACATTTCTTTAATCTCCTCCTTTCTTTCTTGTTACTCAGAACGGATTTTACCCAGATATACCCAACAGACGTAGTGCTTATAGAGGGCATTCTTGTATTCTACTTCAAGGAGATCCTAGATATGCTTGACATGAAACTCTTTGTCGACACTGATGCAGACACAAGGTTATCAAGAAGAGGTGAGTTCAATTCTAAAAATTGTCTTCAACTAGTAGAGAAGTCGTGGACGAGTGGATTTTTCACGGGACTGTGGATCACAAAGTCCGTGGTTCAAGTCCCACCGCGGCACCAATGTCCTTTGGCAAGACATTGGTCCCACCGCGGCAACAATGTCCTTTGGCAAGACATTGGTCCCACCGCGGCACCAATGTCCTTTGGCAAGACATTGATCTACATTTGCCACTCTCCACCCAGGTGTTAAATTGGTACCCGGTAAGATGCAAAAGCTAATGTGCTTAGATTAGCAAGTGTGCGCTGGTAAAAATGACGCCTGGCTGGAATGCTCCCCAGGGAGTGGAGAATGTGCATACATTGTGTGTGGGTAAGCCTGAATCCAATGACCGGGGTAATAAAACATATATCTGTAAAGTGCTTTGAGAGGGCCTTCGATCCTGAAAGCACTATACAAGAACTAGCAATTATTTTTAGTACTACTACAATTATTTTTACTGAAATACATGGGACTTGATTTATCAGTACAGTGTAATATTATTGTACTGACAGTATTTGTGAATCTTTCTTCATTGAATCTTTTTTGTAAGTGAATCTCTTCATCAAGAAACTGAAATTTTGTTAAAGAGTAAATGACAGTCATTTTGTCAGAAACTGTTGTGCAGCTGGGAATTATCAGTGATAATATGATGACTGATGATGAAATATTTTCGAAAGTTTTCACCTTCTTTGACTACATTTATGTGAGACTTTACAGTTTATACATCAGTCAAATTGTGAACATTGCTATTATTACTTCAGCAATAAAAACTAAGAAGGTTTAGAACTTTTGTTTGGCACGATTTAGTACATCCCCATTTTTTTGTTTTTCCCTGTTTACTTCAGTGATGAGAGATGTGCAAGAGAGGGGCAGGGACCTAGACAAGGTGCTGGTGCAATACGTCAAATTTGTGAAGCCCGCTTTCGAAGAGTTCTGTCTCCCGACCAAGAAATATGCAGATGTTATCATTCCCAGAGGTGCAGAAAATTCAGGTAAGACTTCCTCTCTTTATTCTTCTCTGCTAGAGGAGTTATATACCGGTATGTGATAGCATTCTAATGTGAATACTCTCTTCTGCAATGATGTGAGAATTTCTTCACCTGAAATCAAAACCTGAAGATAACAATCGAGCTTTTTAAAACTGAGCAGAAAGAGTACTTCATGAAGTGATTTATGGTTGATGGTTAGATTTTAGAACATCGTATTTGGCCCCCCCCCCCCCCAAAAAAAAAAAAATTGTTTGCTTTTGTCCGATCAAGGTGTAGGATATTTTATGGTCCAATTTTTGTATCTACTTTTGTGTGTGTTTTTTGTTTTGTTTCTTTGTTTATTATTGTAAATTGGAATGTATCTAAATGTGGTAATGATTTCCATATAGTTTGTGCATGCTCCAAATTCAAAATAGATAGACTGGGTGACCAATTATTATCCTGAAATGTGAAATTTCAAATTAATTCCATGAGTTGGGGAAATGTTACTCCTAGATGCTTAGGGGGACATTAGAGTCCATGTATGGGTATCTTATAACAATGAGGTGTTCCTTCTTTGGTCAATCAAAACCTGCAAAGTGTGAATGTAGCTTGTCTTATGCAGTAATTCTCTGTAGCTCTTCTGCATAGCTTGTCTTTTACCCTTATGGTCTACATCACACATTGAACTCATTTTCACTTTTCCTCTCCCCCGTCCATCTTTTTCAGTTGCCATTAATCTGATCGTCCATCACATACGAGACATTCTCAATGGGGGCATCAAAACGGAGTACCAGAACGGCAAAGCCAAGCTCATCGATGGCCTTTCGACCCCCATGCACACGTCTACGCTCATCCCGTCTGGCCCTGTGGGAAGGAAAGCGTCAGAATCAGGAGGGCGCCCCCATTAGTCCACCGAAGGACAGCCATGTGCATGCTCTATTGATATGTGTGCACGATCACTCACCCACTCATCAGGGACATTTGTTATCTGTAGAAAGAAACGGGGTGGCTGAGTTTTAATCGGCTGATAACACTGGGAGTCTGGGATAGGGTGACTTCATCATGACCTTCAAAGAGCACTTCCTGTCTTGTATTAATGTATGATATACCATAATGCCAAGGATATGAGTCTACTAGAAGAGGTACCATACTTTCTTATAGATGGATATCATGTGTGAGTGTGTGTCTAAAATGAATGCATGAGTGTGTGTGTGTTTTGCAGAATTGCAAAGAAATGATTAAGTGGCAAGTTTGACCTTCTTGAGCTGAGGATGCTAATGTGTGTGCATGAAGTTATCAATATTTGTGCTGATCCTCAACAAATATATCTTGAAACAGTTCCGTCATAACTTGCTGGTAAAAAAAAAAGTTTTATTGTAACCCATGTTTTCCTGCGTTGATGTCCTCAAATTACTTTGGTTTTTGTGATATATTATTGGTGAAAAATTGACTGATAGTTGAACCTGCTGAGCGCTAGAAGGACAGTTGATTGCTTCTATTTAACACCCTTCTGGCTGTCAGCAGACGCTATGTTGGGATATCAAAGTCACAGAAGAGGAGCAAACTTTGTTTTCTTTTTTTATGTGGGTGAGTGATATTGAAGTAAGAATTGACTTTAATATCCTGGATAACATGCTGCTGCGTTTGCCCACAAGTAATGGATCACGTACGTGTACATGTATAAGTTATCCATTGGTATATGAATTCACGGTCGCATTCTTAATGACATACTTGATGGCATACTTGATGGCATACTTGATGGCATACTTGATGGCAATCTTGATGACATACTGAAGTTACCAAGATTCACAGGCTGAAAATTTAAAGGCTGTGAAAAGTTCTCATTGATGTGAGAAAACATTCCTTCTGAATCATGTTATAGAGAGGATAGAGAGAGAGAGAAAGAAAAAGAGAGGGAGGGGGGAGGGGGGACTCTGATAGAACAAAAGGTGCTGATAATAATTTTGAATTGAATGTATTCATTTTAGCTTTATATTTTCATTTCAGTTTTTTCTTCATTAGAATATTTTTTTTGGAGAAGAAACATCCCTGTTCTCACCAAAGAACATAGTTTTCTCTTGTGTGATTGTGCATTTCCTTATTTCTTTCCTTAATTTTGAATTTCATTTTTGTATGAATAGCAAATTTTTTGTTGATACTGTATTTGTTTGCTGCTTTTAATAGTTCAATCAACTTTGAGCTTTGTTTATTGATTACCAAACATGTTCTTTCAAAGATTTGACTGCAGCCAGCATTTCAGAGTTACAATGTAATGGATGTTCTGTTTTTTCAGTAGTGGCTTCAAAAACTTCATATGGATATATTGCTAAATGCTTTTCCACATTTGCAATTCAGTAGCATTTGGTTTTCTTTAAAGAAAACTTAGAAAAGCTTTTTATTTTTAAGTACAATTACATGTTTCCCTATTTGGGTTCATGTACATACAAGCTAGTCTGGTATGTTTAGCATGGTTTAATAAAATACTCTGTAAAAAATTACTCTGACAGAGTCCAACAGGTTTGTGAAGCAGATGCCACATGATATTACAGTCGATGTGCTAAGATTGACAACTCATGCAAAGTAGTGCACGTTATCATGCAAAAATGTTATGGTGTATGGATGTGTCGCATGAAATTTGCATATGTAAATTAACTTTATCCATAGGAGAATGCTTGTAGATTGTGTATTATCAAAACTTCTCAGTAATTGTTGACAGGGGAACATGTACTTACGTCATTTATTTGTTTCATTTTTTTCTAAACGTAGAAAGACATTTTGTATAGAATTAAAAATCTAAAAGTTTGCATGTATGGTTAAAACTATTCTTAATGAGTTTGTAGTTTAAAAGAAATATTGATTCTTTATCTTAGTTTATTCTTAGTTCAGAAGGTTGCATGTACAGGTACATGAACAATCTAGATGTAATTATGATATATTGTTTTCTTGTAATTATGATAGCAGAATGCAAAGAGTAAGAATGTATTGATCCTCAGAAAGAACTGAAATATTGACCAAACCAAATGTGGTCTTTTTAGATTTTTTCTTCAATTCATTTTAATTTTAGTTTATATCAACTGCTTTTATGCTATCTTCTAATTATCCGTTGACCTTAAAAGCAAGGTAGAGGCATGTCGCTTAGATAATGTGAAGACATACAATGTATCACATTTGACCTTACCTGCAAAGTATGCAGTGTCTATAAGTTTTTCCATGAAAATGCTTATCTTTTAGATAGCGCTTTGAGAGACTATCATGTGTGACGTACATGCGTGCATACAAACAAAGAGAAGCCTCTCATTCTGTATTCTCTTTTCAATCGTCGGTGTACATTGCAAGAAATGGTCATGGATGAGAGAAATTATTATTTTCATAGTCACATTTGAATGATTATGTGAGAGAATATAATGTTTATCACTCGATGACTGTGGACAACATATTTCCCATAATGCATTACATCATTACGCTTGAGTCTCACGGTGGGCTTGAGTCTTACAGAGTCATTCAATAAAAGGCATTATCTTTGTATTAAGACTTACAGGTACTCACTTATGAAGTTAAATATTACAAATGAACGTTCTATAATTGTATCTTACATCTTGAGCTTTACTGATAAGATATGTTACACAGATATACACTGTTTTAAAGGTTAACTTCCTGATTGTTGATGTTATAGTTAAAGGATGACAACAGGCAAAGTATTTTGACAATGTTTCCTTTAATTTGATAATTGGATATCATAGGTACATGTAAACTTGCTGCTATTATCACACAGTATTAATAATGAAGCTATAGTTGCTTAATTTTGTTGTAGTTCACGGCACGACAAAAAAAGAAAGTGTTTAGCAGGGATAGATCCTTAACTCCTGTTTTTTTTGTTTTTAACTCTCCTTCCTTATATATGCGGCAGTAGTTCTGACTTCAGGATAGGTGAAAACATACTCTTTCATTTAAATTAAATGTTAAATTATATGTCCATTACATTCATGGTATTTTCATTATAACTGCCCTACTTAATGTATTTGCTCATTAACAAGTATATGTACCGTACATCCTACTTAAAGGATGGTGGCATTAATTTTGTATGCATGTATGCGAAATGACATTGACGTTTTCAAGATCCTTTTCTCTTCTTTGAAGTCACTTTTCTGTACGCAGGATCTACAAATGCATGAAGTATGTGAACATTTCAATCTACCTGTAATTGTACAGTAAGTACCGGTAAGGTATTTTTTATGTATCATCATTATTAGTAGTCAAAATTTGTTCCATATACTGTACGTAAAAATGCTGTTAGTTATAGTGATATTCTGAAAGAATGTCAACAATAGATTTACATTACGTGTAGTTTGGTCAGGCTTAGTTGTTTTGATTTATTTATTGACTGTTAACCTATTTCTTATGTCTATGATGTGCGTTTTCATTGTTGCTCTGAATTTCTGGGTGAAGTCATAATATTTTACATTGAATGTGTTATTCTGTGATGTCATAATATTTTTCATTGAATGTGTTTATTCTGTAGCTCTGGATTTCAAAATGAAGTTGTAATATTTTTTGTTAAATGTGTTTACACTTAATATCTGAAATTCAGAGTGAAATCGTAGTACCGGTATACATTGAAAGTGTTCACAGTAGCTCTGAATTTCGGGGGTTAAATCCCAAAATTTTTACATGGAATGCGTTTACACTGTAACACTGAATTTCATTGTGAAGTTATAATATTATACATTGAATCAATTTGAAACATAAATATGATGCTTGATATACCCTGAATTACTTGTGGTACTACGTCATGAACAGGGATGTGCACTTATTATACACTCAGGAAAAAATGCTTAGAATCCAGCTACAAGTGAAGCGTGGCTTTAGAACTTCCATCAACTGGATCAGAAATGCGTCTGGAACAAATTTTTATAGGCAAGAAATCAGCAAGATATATGTAGCATTTATACATTAGAAATAGCATAGGTGTCAGGCAGCAGTTGCGGTGTGCTGCGATATTTGAGAGATTTCTGAAGACAGTTGTTCTATAAAGTCTATCGCTTACAGGAACTGGTTACTAGGAGTATTAGAAAATTCAGTAGTCGGCTGGGTTCTCTGTTATGTGTGAGGCAGTAGGATACTTTTAAACCATTCTTTTTAGGTCAAATTGCAAAACTTTCAGTTTCAATTGTCTGAGTAATGAGCTATTGCAATGCATGGACTGTCGTGTGTTGCGATGATGTAGTCAAAGAATGTGAAAGGGTTAAAAATGTACATCCTTCATTCGCACATCTATCTGAGCCTTACTGCTGTGTACCTGGACACTAGTATATAGTTGGTCACATTTGTGTTTTCTCTGTTTGGAATACTAGTATTGGGTAAAACAAAATATGTGGCTCTGAATCCAAGCCTACAAGATCAGTTATCTTGTTATGTTATTTCAGTATTACATACTGTACATGTATGTGATGTTTATCCTGGTACTGGGTTTATACAAGAAAGAAGAAGTTTGGAATTATTCAGGAGTACAAGGCAAAATAAACAGAGAAACACATGAAGAACACCTCAGCAGATGTTCTTGAAGCATAATGACTTAGGTCCAGGTGTACACTCCAACAAAGTGGGTTCGCTGATTTATGGAAAGCCAGGTGTCGACTTCTTCATTCAGTAAACGTTAGTATAGTTCTGTAGGAGAAAAAAAATTCCGAAGATTATGTCATGAAATCAATTTTTCATTTCATGACAGCATTCTAATTCACTACAGACTTCCAGTAATTTGTACGGAATACAGGGGTGGTATTCTGAAAATGATATATATGTTTTTTGGGGGGGAAAAGATGTTGACTTTCATAAGAAAATCAAAATTAGGACAAGCTATTGGGTAATGTTTTTAAGGCTGGCTGTGTTCATGTAAAGTTAAGAGTATCTGCACTAGAACCAATGGTACATGTAAGTGCTAGTTTCGTGCAATCTGAGTTTATGACAATCAACATAGTTTCCCCTAACGTTAAAGATTATATTATTTTCAGAATACCTCCCCTGAACTCGACACTTGGTGCTCACCAAATCAATGGACAAAATAATAGACGATTCCAGTTGCCTCTCAATCATCTAGGATAGCTTATTTTGTTTATCATACAGGTTTCCTATACCCTCCTCATGCACCTTGAGATGACTTTACATTCTGCTGGAATACATGAACCTAAACGGATTTGTACATACAAAAATAAGTTGTGATGTAATTGTGTTGTAAATAATATCTAGGGTACATAGTATTGTACATAACTAGATAATGTAGTCAGTTTTGATAATGCTGGTTGATTTGCTTTGCTTATTGTAACAACGGTGAAGTGCATGTTAAGCTTCTCATTTGAGAAGTGAAGTTTAATTCATTCAACAAGTTTTTTTGATGTACATGTATGGACAGAATCTTGTACAGTTTGACAGTATTAAGGTGCTTGTGTGAAGTCATACACAGTGAAACATTGCTTTATTTCTAACTCGACAACTTCCAAGGTTTCAGTTTTTCATTTTTGTCCTTCGTAACACTTGAAGCCTTATGCGATTGACCGCAATGCTTTCCAGATACATGTATTCCAGACCTTTTTATTTTCTATTATTTTTAAGGACCTTAAGTTTTTGTGACATTCATCTTTGTGTCTTAAAATCTTGCTCTCCCCATCTTTGATTTTTAATCTTCTTTAAGCTTTTTAGTATTTCTTAGCCATGTTTTTAAAGGTATTGGAAGAGTAACCCGTTATTTTCAAAAGAAAGGATAAACAATTCTTGATCAATTCATTATAGATAACATTTTAGTTTGGAGTTCAAAGTAAGGCTTTTTATTATTTTAATGCATCTTGCTTGCAACTCTTAATAGGATCAGAAAGATTATGTAGCTTTTGCTCAAATTTTTGGGAGAATTCGTAATATTAGACGTTCTTTTTTTGTAGTCCAGTGAAATGTCGATATTTCTACCGTTTGAAAATGATACTATCATTTTTTTATTGTCAAAATTGTATTTGATTACAAAAGACACATTGCATCTATTTATTTTCATGCTTTTCGATTTCTCTAAAATATTTATTCCTGTCATTTTAATTTTTTTGAATTGATTCCTAATCTTGCTTTCCTTTTCTAAATTTGAATTTCCCATGCCTGTATCATTCATTATGTTCACTCCGATTAAGATTGATTATTTTCTGAATTGGATGACTTGTAATCATGTATTTGAACAGGAAAATGTTTATAAGCCTGTTTACAATTGTTTACTGTAATAAATGCCTTTGAAAGGCCCAATTGAAATTTGGTTGCCAGAATCTAAATTTATTGCAAGTCCTGTCTTCTTCATGATTAATAAACAAGTACAGAATTATTCTAAACCCGTCTCTTATTCTCTTTCTTCTTCTCTTCTTTTGCAATACTTTTACAATTTTCTGTGTTTCATTCTCTCTCTCTCTCTTTCTGTCACTCACATTCATTCTCAAGCCTTGCTCAAATATGCGGCAGTAAACCTCGCTGGGATTTTATTAATTTTAAAGGAAACCAAAACCTTCATACCAAGTTACTTTTATTGTAAAGTTTAAGATATTTGAAAAATATCAGTGAAAATTTGAACAAAATCGGGCAAGGAATAAGGAAGTAAGAGCTTTTTGAAATTACTAGCCACTAGAGGGCGGTATTCAATTTGATGACATCATCTGTGGACATCAAATTTCATGTTTTTCTTGAGATAATCTACTCCCCTGAAAGCAAGATATAGAATGCAAAATGATATTCTACTTCATATGTTATGAAGTCGGATCAAGAACACAAATAAATACGAAGAAAACAAAAAAAATTGTGAAATTTTATGTACAAAAGGCATGGAGAGTTGTTCACAGATGATGTCATCAAATTGAATACCGCCCTCTAGTGACTAGTCATTTCAAAAAGCTCTAACTTTCTTATTCCTTGCCCGATTTTGTTCAAATTTTCACTGATTTGATTCAAATCTTTTAAACTTTACAATAAAAGTAACTTAGTATGAAGGTTTTGGTTTCCTTTTTAGTGTAATATGCTTCACATTTCTGTATACAAAGAGCTCAGAGAATACGAGTAGGACCTTTGCTGAGCCCAGTTACCATTTATTTTCTTCCAGTGATACAATGTTTATTATACAGTAGGCTTGCGGGTGCACCGTGTGAGAGAGAGAGAGAGGGTTGAGGAGTCCTGAAAAAGGACTGACTCGGTAATCTTTCTTGGGGGTGTGTAGTCCTGAAAAGGACCGTTTGTTATCTTTCTTAGCTTATAGTTCTAAGGAGAACTATAGCGCTTGGAGAGGATGAGGTGGCTCGTCGCTTCGAACAGGTTGACTATCCGTCGTCAGGAGTGGAGAATAGCTGGCGTGCGTGAGCTTAAGTAACCGGGGTGCGGACGTTTATTATGGACACGATGTAGAATTCTATTAATATACATGTGAGAAAACTGGTGGTTTAGCATGCCATATCTGAACGAGCTTTCACTCTCTCTATCCCTCTCCCCCGCCCCTTTCTTTCTCACTCTTGCTCTTTATTCTTTTCTCTTACTCTTTCCCCCATCACTTGACAATCTTTGAAAACTATAGTATCTCGCTCTCTTTACACATTGATTGCTTTTCACTTTTCCTACTCTACTTCTTTCTTCCATTCCTCCCTTGTTCTTCACAAGTTTTCTATTCTCTACCTGTTTCTTTTCTGTTTTAATCTTGTTTCTATTTTGTTCTCTTCTCTCATTCTCCCTTACTTCAGGGGTGATAGTGAGCACTAAAAAAAATAGGTTTATTGTTTTCCCCTCAACCACGCCCCCCTTGAGTAGAAAAAAGGGGAAGAGGATTTGCGGGGAAAAAATGGCATCTAACAACATTCCCCCCTTTCGAGTAAGAAAACTGGGGGAAAAATAGGGCAAAATAGGGAAAATTAGAGAAAATAACGGGGAAATCAGTAAAATCAGGATGAAAGAGGGGGAAGAAAAAAAAAATTAATCAGGAAGAAATAAAAAATCTGGAAAAAAATCGAGAAACCGATTTCAATCGGGGTTTTTATCAGGCCTGCTTACTTGCACGATATGTCAATCGCCTCTTCTCTACTATAGAAAAATCTAGAAGTAAAAGGGCAAGACTCCAAACTTTGGACATGATTACTCATTTTATTACAAAAATCCTCATAAAACATTTCTTCAATCATACATTAAAGATTCAGGTAAGCTTGAGTTGTGATTCTCACAGAATCTATCAAAACTTACACTGAATGTTCAAGGTTACAAATAAATGACATGTGACAAACAATTTTGGTAGAGAGTGTATAGGGGTTTATATACATCTGGAAGAAAGTTATTTAACTCACACTTTCACAACTGCACTCATTCTTGTTAGGAGTTACATATATAAATGTTTCAGAGTGATGAGTGAAATACATACCGTACTACGGTATATACATACATCACTCAAGCCCAAACTAGGTCTATCTTCCTGAACACTGAAAAGTTGGCAGGAAGTAGTGAAGTTGTATGTAAAAGCTTTGGCCCAGTTGTAGGTCTAAATCTAAAGAAGTTGTCCTAGATTTCTTTCCTTGCATGAGCATATACTGTAGCAACACTTTATGCAGTATCTCAATGGAAAGATGTGGTTGATTATTATTTAGACGCTTCGATCAGAGACATCGGTAGAAAATGCTTTATAAGTACCATTTTTATTATCAATATTATAATAATGGATCAAATTGCAAAGGTTAATAATTCACAAGTTTAGTATTTTTTAAACAGGGTAGCCGCAACCAGTGATCAAAGCATTATTTTACAAGGGGACCGACCCTGAAATAAATGTTGAATATACGTCCATCATTGCTCACTACTTTATATTAATTTTGATTGCTTGGTTGTACTCAGGTCATCATCAACATCAATAGTGATAAGTCAGTTTATGACAGGTTCAGTGACCCAATCAGAATTCTACATCAAGTGTCTCTCCAAGTACCTCGGACTTGAGCCATCCGTTTCAGCATTTCACATCCTGTTGCTCCACATTCTTTCCATGTATCATGTACCACAAGGGCTGGATCAAATCTAGTTGATGCATGGGGCTCCCTCGCACGGTCATCCCCTTTCTCTCCTTCTGACTGTTTGGTGTTCTCTAGGAATCTTGTCACCTCCTTGCTCCAGAGACAGCGCCAGTGAAGGATCAAGGGAAGGATGCATGATGCTCTTTCAAGAAGTCAATTCATTTCTCCTTATACTCTCCTTCTGACTGTTTGGTGTTCTCCAGGAATCATGTCATCTCCTTGCTCCAGAGACAGGGCCAGTGAAGGATCAAGGGAAGGATGCATGATGCTCTTTCAAGAAGTCAATTCATTTCTCCTTATACTCTCCTTCTGACTGTTTGGTGTTCTCCAGGAATCATGTCATCTCCTTGCTCCAGAGACAGGGCCAGTGAAGGATCAAGGGAAGGATGCATGATGCTCTTTCAAGAAGTCAATTCATTTCTCCTTATACTCTCCTTCTGACTGTTTGGTGTTCTCTAGGAATCGTGTCATCTCCTTGCTCCAGAGACAGCGCCAGTGAAGGACCTAGTAGATGCATGATGCTATATCAAGTAGTCAATTCATTTCTCCTTATACTCTCCTTCTGACTGTTTGGTGTTCTCTAGGAATCTTGTCACCTCCTTGCTGCCGAGAGAGGGCCAGCGAAGGATCAAGGGAAGGATGCATGATGCTCTTTCAAGAAGTCAATTCATTTCTCCTTATATTCTCCTTCTGACTGTTTGGTGTTCTCTAGGAATCTTGTCACCTCCTTGCTCCAGAGACAGCGCCAGTGAAGGACCTAGTAGATGCATGATGCTCTATCAAGAAGTCAATTCATTTCTCCTTATACTCTCCTTCTGACTGTTTGATGTTCTCTAGGAATCATGTCATCTCCTTGCTCCAGAGACAGCGCTAGTGAAGGATCAAGGGAAGGATGCATGATGCTCTTTCAAGAAGTCAATTCATTTCTCCTTATACCCCTCCTTCTGGTGGCTTTGACTTGTTGGTAGGTATCTGTGTGTATACCTTGTCATCTTCTAGCAGCATATAAAGGGCTAGCAAGGAATCTATTTGACGCTGGATGCTCTTTCAAGTAGTCTCCCCCTTTCTCCTCATACTCGCTCCTCGTTATGAATGATGAAAGGTTGGTGGTATCCAAGGCCCACTTTGCTGCTCCACACCATGCATCCAGTGAGGGGTTACCTAGCAACAAGATGATTTAACATTTGTTTATTGCAATTGATTGAGCAAGTATATTCTTTACAGTCAAACAAACAAGGGAAATTACAGCTTCAAAACATAGCTAATAAATTGGTAACTAAGGATTGATGAATGCCCGCTCACAAAGTTCACACATCAAGATTTATAAGTATGTTATCACAAAGTGTACAAATCATTTCCTCCTTAGACATCTTCATGATCAGAGAATAAGAAACTTAATCAATTTAATTTAAAGTAGTCACAGCTAAAACACAACAGAAAGCTGCATTTCTCCAAACAGGATGTTCATGTTTACGTCCTAAGTTGACTGAAACCTGCCAACAACAAAAGTCTACCAAGAACCTGAATCTAGAAAACAAATAATAGGGATATGACGTTTAGGTTTCACTCTGTTCATATTCACTTAAAGCCAAGGACTATGCCTACTGGTTAAGCTGAATTTAAAGCAAGACAGAACTTTGGGACCAATCCAAAGAAAATGTTTCCATCACGACTCCAATATTTCTCACCTGCTCGTTTGACATTAAATAAAGACTGGAAGGGTCTCATCGCCCTCAGCTCATGCTCTATCCTTTCCACCATGTTAGGGTAGCTTAGGTTACCTCCAGTCACAAATACATTCTGTGAAAAAAAAGATCACAAGAAATAGCATTGGGGTTTGACGTGATAGACTGGAGTAGCATGGGTCCAGCCAGAATTCAAGAGTATCCAATACCCATCCATTTCATTTATTTCATTCACTTAATCGTTCTAGTATCCGACTTCGCCCCATCCCAACCCGCCTTTCACGGTTCAGATATTCATTTGTTCCCGACTCTGTTCTTAACAACTATTAAGATTTGAAATACCAATGACCAAGGCTTAATTTTGAAACTCATGATTTGAAGTACCAATAACCTTTTTTGTCACTTCATTATCTTTTGCATGTATTTGTTCCTTATTTCATCTATTTCTATAAACGTGATGTATTTATTTCTTGTAATTATGTATTTTCTTGAATATTACTGTAACGCCAGTGGAAACCAAATTTCTATGTAATTTGTTTGCAAAGACCAAATAAAATATCTTGTATCTTGTAACAGACAAAACATAGATTAAACAAATGAGCTCTGAAGGCATATGCAAGTAGTCAACACACATGTGCAGGACATCTAATGAAGGTGCTTTCTGCAGGGGTAGGGGGCACGATTGGCACAGCGAGGGATGGGGGGGGGGAACGGTCTTCCTAGGTGGATAACATGTGAGAATGAATCAAGACTATCGTAGAGTGAGGGAAGAGTGTGAAAACATAGAAAGGGAATGTCATCTTTCCTCTCCCTCTCTTTTTCTTTCTTTCTCTCTTAAATTTATTTGCTCCTTTTGTCTTCTCCCCATCCAGAGCAACGTTTCAGGTAAAACAAAGAAATCACCAGCATGTTCACCCTATTGGTGATTCCTCAAGCAGTATGGTATATTCTGACAATCAATGACCCCAAACTGTCAAACCCCGCCACAACTGGTGACAGTACTGTGCCTTAAAAAAAAGGGGGGGAGGAGAGAAGACAAAAGGAGCAAAATCAAATAAGAGAGAAATAAAAAGGAAAGAAGAGGGATAATTGCACTACATTACATCTCACCTGAACAAGTTTGTCTTGCGTCTCAGGTTCGTACTGCCGTAGCACATACTCCATAGTCTCTGCCATTCCGCCCTGCTCCAATCCCATGATGCTCGGCTGGAACAACGTCTCCGCAACACGTATCCTCTCCACCCCAAGCGCCAGCTGGTAGTACTCCGCAAGGTCAAAGGTCATTCGCTGGCTCACTGGGGATCTGTTTTCTCTGTATAAGATTAGCAGATGATCCAATGTATGCACATAAGACAACTGCTCCATGCTTACTTTCAGAAAAACTACAGGCTCAGGGCTCGTATTGCACTTGCTTTGTAGTCTAGGTTTACGGTTAGATTTAGGAATGAGTGGAGGGTGAGGTATTAGGTAACGGTTACAAGTAGATATGTAAAGAGTCCATGTTTGAAATTAAGAATTAGATAGAATTAGCAATTGACCAAAGATCAATGGTTGCCCCAGCATATCTCATACAATTTATTAGCCTAAGTTATGAAAAATTGTTTTTAAGAACTTCAGTGACCAGAAATATTGTGTAATACATGAGCTAAAAACAAGTACTCAACTGTCATTTCTATACATTAACATACACTGTATGCAATTCCCAACTCAAAAATCTGGATTCAACACTATAGCTATCTCTAAACCTAAACCTAACCTGAATACATATCAAAATATTAACAATATTAGCTACTGGTACATTCATAAATCATTGCACATATACATATATTCATCCCAGGGGATGCTAAAGGAGTATGAAGAGTCTCGGTACTAAAAATGACACAAGTGCCCCTCACATTTCTGTTTATCTTATAAGACAAAAATAAGTCCACTGGTCGGCTTTTGTTGCACACATCAATATATTTCTTCTCAATTTTCCATTCATGTAATGCTTTTTACCGTAAGCACTTTTTTATTATGCCATGTGGGAACAATGCTAGCATGAAGATTAGAAATAATTGCCTACTTAATTTCTACTACTGAAGGGGGGGGGGGAGAAGTAGCCAGGTGTATTGCTATTTCCCTTGATTAAGGCACATCATGTTTCGAATAATACATGCAGTTTAAGAGAGAAAAATTGACATAAGGCCTTGAATCATCTTCAATACCAAGTGGCTCTCTTGGGCAAAACTGATTTAATAGGGAAATTCTCAAAATGATATATAACTAGATGGAACTTCGACTGCGCGCAGTCGAAAATGATGCCTCCGTCATAGAGCAAGTTTACAAACCAAAACAGAAGAAATTTTTTAATTCAAGTTTCATCGTAATTCATTAACAGGTTCTCAGAATATCGTGATTACAAGCAATTTCTCATATACATATATGACCCTTTGATCTTTGACCTCATGACCCTAAAATCTACTCAGTTCATTGGCTCTGCAAGATAATAATAATAATAATAATACATATGATTTATAAGGCGCCAAATCCACTTGACAGTCAAATGCTCAAGGCGCAGCTTGTGCAAAAGATGAAATACATACATGATACATTTTATACAAAGTGCAATAAGAAAGGTACAGACATGAAAGGTAATGGTAATCAATTATAAGCTAAATTAAACAGATATTTCTTAAGATTGTTTTTTAACACCTCAGCAGAACTGCTATTCTTAACCCATTGAGGGAGAGTATTCCATAACGAAGGCCCAGCATGAGCGAAGGTTCGCTCCCCCCACTTTGTTTTAACCCTAGGAGTAACAAGTAAGCCAGAGTTTTGAGAACGTAGCTGTCTAGAAGGAAAGTAATGCTTAATCAAGCCGATGTTATACTGCGGAGCAGAGCCATGTATACAGTGAAATAATAGCAAAATAATCTTGAAAACAACACATTTTTCTACGGGCAACCAATGGAGTGATTTGAGGACTGGTGTGATGTGACTGTACTTGTTGGACAGGGTCACGACACGAGCAGCAGCATTCTGTAATCTTTGTAATTTTGCGAGTAGGTTGTGAGGCGAACTAAACAAAAGGCCATTACCAAAATCCAAGCGAGAAGAAATCAAAGCATGAGTAATTTTCTCAGTGGCACCACGGTTAAGATATTTACGAATAAAACCCAAATTGCGTAACTGATAACGTACTGATTTTGAGACATATTGAATTTGAGTAGACATTTTCATGTTTGAGTCGAGAAACACACCAAGGTTGCGACATACATTAGATAGGGTAATTTCATGTCCAGCAAGAGTAATTGAAGTGATGGAAGAAATCTTCTCTAACTGAGTCTCAGAACCATACATTATAAATTCGCATTTGGCGAGATTTAATTTCAGTGAATGTGAGTTTAACCAATTATGAACATCTTGTACACAAGTCTCAATGTTATGGATAGCGCTGGCTGCATTGCTCTGATTGGGTTTGAAAGAAGTATATATTTGAATATCATCAGCATAAACATGATAAGAGAGAGAATGGCGATGAAAAATACTCTTCAAACCCGTTAAATATAACGAAAAAAGCGTGGGCCCGCCCACAGAGCCTTGTGGAACTCCGCATGTAAGTGGTACAAAATCTGAAAGGTAGCCGTTTATCAAGACAGCTTGAGAATGGCATGACAGGTATGATTTAAACCATTCCAGGGCTTGACCTTTAATACCGAGTGACATGAGGGTATTCACCAGAACAGTGTGGTTAACAGTGTCAAAGGCGGAAGACAAATCAAGGAGTACCATAGCAGTTACTTTTCCGCCATCCATCTCCTGGAGTATAAAGTTGGATACATTAACAAGGAGGGTTTCTACACTGTGGTGGGGACGGTATGCAGATTGAAATGGGTCAAGGAGGTCATTATCGAGACAGTAATCATTTAATCTAGAGAACACCACCCTCTCAAGTATTTTAAATAAAAACGGGAGATTAGAAACTGGACGGTAATTACTTAGTAATTCAGAATCAAGATTGGGTTTCTTCAGTAAAGGAAGAATGTGTGCCGTTTTAAGAACAGAAGGTACGCATGCCTGAACAATACTTAAGTTGACAATCTGTGAGATAACAGATGCAAATGAAGAGGAGCAATCCTTAACGAGAACAGTATAGACAGGGTCTAGTTTACACGACTTAGCTGGCAATCTATGAAGCAGTAATTGTATCTCATCGGAGGTGGTAGGTTGAATCGTCTCGAGGGATGCTGACGTGACAGGATCAGGTGGAGTTAAGTCAGGAGTGAGACTGTCCTGGATCTTCTGAACCTTGGAGCGGAAGAACTGAAGAACTGAATAAATCTTTGAGCAAGATGTCCTGAGTTAAATAGTAATCCATCTGTCAGTTCTAATGAGAATGCATTCACAAGCTATTTTTGCATACATAATGAGCCAATGACATTTGACCTTTGACCTCATGACCCAAGCATCTACTCAGTTCATTGGCTCTGCAAGATACATACTTGATCTAAGTTTGGCAGGAATCCATCAATCTGTTCTTGAGATAATGCGATCACAAGCTGTTTTTGCATACACAATGAGCCCTGTGACCTTTGACCTTTGACCTCTTGATCCAAAAATCTAATCAGTTCATTGGCTCTGCAAGATACATACTTGATCTAAGTTTGGCAGGAATCCATCAATCTGTTCTAATGATAATGCGATCACAAGCTATTTTGCATACATAATGAGCCGCATGACCTTTGACCTTGACCTCATGACCCCAAAATCTGATACATGATCAAAGTTTGGCAGGAATCCATCAATCGGTTCTTCAGATAACGCGATCAGAACGGGACGTACGGACGGACGGTCTGACAACCCGAAAACATATGATTTAATTAGCCTGACAAAATGGTAATCCACTCTTCATGCAAGACTCACTTATTAAAATCTTGGTCAAAGACCGAGATGATTTTGTCCAACTCTGAGAGAACCTCTTGCTCAGCCTGGAAACTGAAGCCTTCAGCATCATCCTCCTGAGAAGAAAAAAAACAAATACAGAGCTTTTAAATATTTAAAAATAGAAATTGTGAACTAATTTTCACAATCCATAAAATTTTACCCAAAACTGTCTGAAGAAGCTAGCAATTTTACAAAAAGCAAAAGATCACACACATGTAAGAAATTAAATGAGGGTGTATAGAAACAATACCTCAGACTTGTTGTTGTTATTTTAGTCTTATTGGCATGTATTTATGAATATCTATGCCATGTTGTTGTTGTTGTTGTTTTAGTTTATAGGCGTTTGTCATTCAGAAGTGAATATTTACGCCTCTTCTCTTAGGATTTTTATTCCTTTAAAATTAGATTTACTTTTTTTGAGCAGTGTGAGTAGTCTACTCCCAAGTCACTTTTTCATTATACAGAGCGTGTTTAAACTTGCCATATCTCTTCACAGAATTATTGTTTGAAGCTGATATTAGGACTATAGTGTACCAGCAGGGAGCCCAAAAATAGGAACAAAATGTCAATATTTCACTCACCATAGCTTGAATGTAAGCCCATTCTGAGCCTTGGTCGTCGGTGGCTTGTTCTTCACTCTCACCTGAATACAACACAAAATAAATAACAAAATGTATCAGTCTTCATAACACTGACACATATTTACCGTAACCAATTAGCAACTAGAGATTTTGTAAAAATGGCCTATTACTCCCTGGAAGATGTTGCAATATTGCTCTCATTTTGACATTGATCTGAACAATATGAAACATGCGCTATTTTTCTATGCAGAACCCTACTGTAGATATCGTAAGGATTATGCACCCTCTATATAGCAAACAATGCCTAATCGGTGACCATTAGTCCCCCATGATCCTCTTTTTCTCATGTTAATTGAGAGCTGATTTGATGAGATAACCACCTGTCAGTGACCATGCAGGGAGGTTTAATTCTCATGGCCAAACTAGTGCAGTGGGGCTTTAAAGGAACTTCTCTACAAGACATAATTGCAAATCTGCAGTAGGTCTTTTTCACTGCATTTTAACAAAGGAACTACATGTACATAGAGCTAGATCCCAGATAGGTGAAAGAAAACTGCTATTGGCAAGATGCATTTGTTTACCACGAAGCTGCTAGAAAAACAAACTACACATTTTAAATCGGATCCTAATAAATTATTGTCCACACATTACAAAAATCAGTAAAAGTTCACTGTAATATATAATAGAGGCAGGATCGTAAAAAGCACAGGAAAGGCTTGTTGAATATAACCCCTTTTATATTGAATATATCCAAATCATAATTATGGGAAATCATAAAACATAATGTAACAAAATAACAATAAGGACAGAAAGGGAGAGAAGACGAAGAACCATTTCAATAGTTTTACTACCCAACTTTTAAACTGACTTACTGTCTTACACTGTACTATTCTTCAATTTTCTCAGTATAAAGTTGTTCCAGAGAATCAGACAATTACTCAAGATTGACAATTTTGTTACTGATGTGCAATTATGAGGCAGAATTACATTTTCTATGATGCGTAAATGTCTTGAGCTCTTCATTGAGCTCTAAGAAGCTGGGTCCTGTTTCATGAAATTTGATAATAATAAAAAGTTACAAGCTTTCGTTTTAAGCTACTGAAATCATGGCATCTGATTGGCTGAGAACAAATTTGTCATAGAAATTTAGCAGTTGTTATAGATAACAAGCTTTATGAAACGGGCCCCTGGTGCCTGACTTACCTTCTTGATCTGTTTCCATGGAGTCTGCATCCTTGATGTCTTTCAAGATGAGGAGCTTCTCTTTGATGTTCTGCCATTGGGTGTGGCAGGCATTCAGCTCCTGCAATATTTCCAGTAACAGAGAAAGAAAAATGATTATGAACACAATACCGGTAATAACAATGGATATTTTCAGTGCTCAGAGCAAAGGTGCTCAAGGTGCTCCAATATTACCCCAGCTCTAGCTAGGCAACCAATTTTGGTTCTCACAGTATTCAAGGAATAACTTCCTCCAAGATACCAATTTAACCCCTGGGTGGAGAGTGGCAAATACAAATTAATGTCTTGCCAAAGGACAATAGTGCCATGCCCGGGCTTGAACCCAACACCTTCATATTTCACATCACGTGCTCAAACCACTCTACTAAGATACCTTTAACAAGAATACAAAATATGAGGTCATATGCCAATTTCCTCACAACAAAGAATTTGAATTTTCCTTTTCCACTCATTTGCTTATAGTTTTATAATGCACAAAATAAAAAAATACCTTGCAGCATTAAACATTAAAATCAACAGGATTACAAATTTGCAGAATTATGAAGAGATTATCAATAACTTACTGTATGCCCGGCAGAAGGGTGTGAACACTTTCTGTCAAATTGCTTAAATGTTTAGTTATGATCGCTGAAATAATAATATCACGGTTAACAATGTGTATGTAGTCAAAGAATAGTAAAAAATTGTGGGATATATTTTGCTTGGATGGACATCCAATGTCCGGTAACACCCTTCTGCCAGGCAACACAAAAAACTCATTAGCATTAACACCAGGGGGTGTTTCACAAAGATCCTAAGTTGGACTTACAAATTATGGAAAGCCATTAGCATCTATGAAAATATTTTGTAGAAGTTATTTTAAAAGGCATTAAATGATGATTCAAATCATTCATATTTTCTATTATCAAGGAATTTTCATTTTCTTGATGTGGAATTTATAAGAAGTCTAAAATACTTTATTTTCGTTTTTGAATATATTTTATTTTCAGGCTACAAATGGCTCGCCATAATATCTAAGTCCAAGTTAGAGTTAAGTTTGACTTCGGATCTTCGTGAAACACCCCCTGATATCCTTATTTCAAGATGGTATGAGCTACCTCTTTTTGCTCCTTGAGTTGCTCCATGCAGTTCTTGAGGACATCATCCTTGGCTCCATCTTCCAGTTTCCTAGCTGTCTCCTGCAGGAGGCCATCAATCTCCCTCTGGATCCAGCGAGACCTCAGACTGTTCTGATGGAACTCCTCCACCAGTTCCTGGCGCTGCCTCTGGTTCCACTCGGCCGGGGCCAGGGCCTCAGGGTTGGAGCCTAGGAGGTCCAGCTTGGGCCAGACCTGGACCGTCTTGGGCTAAAGAAAGATTGTTAAAAACGTTACATTTACTAATGGTAGCAAGCCAATTGTAGATATATGTACCTTACAAACATCCAATAAAAAGTGTGCCCCTGAATTCTAAACCAAAATTACACCTGGTTGGTTCGGTATATTTTTTTAAACTGATTACTAAGAAAGCATGTTTAGGCATCCTGAAGACTGACTGCTTTAAGGCCTCTTCGAGGAGCTTGGTAACGAGAATTGATGCCTTACCAAAGAACACTAGCCCATCAACTTGGTTTTGAACCTGAAAATGTTATAAATTGTCTTTCTCTCTATACTGTTTTCTATCTTTTTATTTTCATTTCTCAACATTTAGAGAAATGGTTTTAGGTAAGGTTAAAGGTTAGAATTAGGGAAAGTCTTAGTTCCAGGAATGATGTTTGAAGTTTGATTCATATACGGAATTTACTGTACAAAACTTTAGGAGGAACATGTCTTAAAAAGACCTTATAATCAGTGCCCTAGACAAAGCACAATGTACCTGATCCATGGAGCAGTCCCGACCTCCCAAGCTGACCTTTGACCTCTGTACCGATGCATTCAGCATGCCTATGTAGCCTGCCAGGTCGTCCAGTGTGTTTAAACCAAGAGCTTTCAGAGATTTCTAGGGTGAGAAATTACAAAGTGTAAATTGTACATCATCTTTATTCCAATGTATCCACAGAGAAAGAGAGAGTCAGAGATTGAATGATGAGAAGAAAGAGGATGAGGGAGACATAGTGTGAGAGAGAGAGAGAGAGAGAGAGAGAGAGAGAGAGAGAGAGAGAGAGAGAAAGAGAGAGAGAAAGAGAGAGAGAGGAGGAGGAATGCTGTACTGAAAGAAGTCTTGCTTGGAAAAAAATTACTAGGAGAAAGAAAGAGATAAAATGAAGAAAAAAATTATATGCAGAGAAAAAAAAGGCTTCTGAATTCCTTTCTTCCCAACTGATGTAAATTCACCATTAACATCTTTAGCTTTAGAGAGATATCAAGTTTACAACATCTTGATTAAATCATTCTACATTCAGGTTTTCTACTTGAAAAATAAATGAGAAAAAATAAAGATGATGTGTGCTTCGAAGCATTTAATTGCTTACAGAAATGTTATGGTTTACTGTTCTAACTTGAGTGTAGATATTTATAATTCACCTTTTGTGACCCATCACTGTCTTCTTGCATCTCTTGTACTGCAATGAGGGTTCTTAACTTGTCTTCGGCTGCTGATAACTACAGAAAGGAAAAGGAATTGTAATAATAATATTTAGTTCGAAGAAAGAAATGGTATACTCACAGTAATAGAGATCGTTTGTTTGATCCATATATTGATAAAAAAATACAATATCAGAAGATGAAAGAAAAATTTGAACCAGAATTATTTTTTACTTGAAAACTGCTACTTGTCATGACAAATCTTGAAATAAAACAGGCACTTGTCCTACATGTACATGTAATTGATTGATTTGAATTGAATCATTCTCATCCAGACCAATCCCCATGAAACCTCATCTGACTATTTGCCACGCCCATACCTTTGCTCCATTCTTCAAGTGGTGTCTAACTCAACCTTACATTAAGCAACCATCATCCTATGGCCATCATGTGAGTGCATACAATTTTTTTTTATCAAGGAAACTATGGTGATATTTATAACAATAAAAATAATAATAGCGCAGTCTTATGTAGCACTCATGTCTGGTACAATGCCAGTCCTGGTGCTCCAATGTTATTATCCTGGATTTAGCACGGCTGCCATTACAGAGCTCCAGCATGTCAAGGAAGTTATTCTGGCCAGGTACCCATTTACCTCACCTGGGTAGAGTGTGGCAAGTGTAGAATAATGTCTTGCCAAAGGATATTAGTGCTGTGACAAGGTTTCGAACCCCATACCTCGTGGTTCACATTCTGGAGAATTATCCACTGGACCACAACACCTCTACAAGTTATCTGTTACATATGCAGACTCTGGTGATAAAATCTTTTATTAAAATATACAGACCTTTTCCTCTTTCCACTTGAGATTAAGATCCTGTAGTTGTTTGATACATTGCTGTCTTCTCTCCTTCTTGCTGCCTACAGACCATCCTGGCAGCTATCATAAGGCAAAGGATTAGTTTATTAGTGAAACTAATCTCTCCATTCCCCACCTCTCTCCACTACTTGAAGTCATTTTTATTTGTGTTACCCCCTCCTCCTTTTTCACTAATCTCTACCCTCCCCCACCCCTAAATTCATATTTTGCCTGAAAGAATTTCCACTTTTTAAATTTGCAATTTTATTCTTCTCCTCCTTTTCAGTACTTTTCTAAACTTCACCTTATATTATCGTCATGTATTCCCAACAGTCAATTTCAACGGACTACTTACAATTTTTGCTCTGATTAGAATAGATAATTTCAGACAGGGATTGACCTGTATAAATTTGCAATTATATTTACATACATAAAGATTTGTATACAATATATTATGCTATCCAGATCAGTCTACATTCTGAATACATAACTTTCTATCTTTATATCATTCAATCATTTCATTTTATGAATTATAAAATTTATTCAACACTGTTTTATTTATTTAACATCGATCAATAATGAGAAAAACACAATTATACAGCCAAATCTGTCTTTTGTGCCTGCCCAAGGGAAACACAAAAAGTGGTCTTCGTAGACAGGTTGCTTAGGTACATGTTTCAATGAGAAGCCATTTTCAAGGGAAACAAAAAATGTGGTCTTTGTAGACAGGTGGTCACTAAAGCAGGTTTGACTGTAGCTGAATGAATGATACATACTGGAGTATAAGGCAGCTGAATCTTGTGCACATGTTTCTGGAAATATTCTGGGCATGACCAGTCATCATACTCAGCCCAGCAGTCCTCTGCTGCATATACATGATCCTTCAACAACTCCTGTACACACAAAAGAGACAAAGTATTACATTTGGAAAGCTGTTATGATACAATTAAAGCTGATAAATTATTGATCCTGATAAATATACTTACACATATGACACTGAAGTGACACATGGAAAAATGATGAATTTTCGTCTAGTTGTCATTTTATTCTCTAAGCACAGACCTACCGTATACCCATTTTCATACTTCTCTTTATTTGTTGATATAACTTCCTCCCTCCTTTACTCCTCCTTCATTCCCTCATTCCTTCCTCCCCCCCCCCCCCCCCCCCCAAAATCGTCTTCTCTCTCTCTCTCTCTCCCTCTGTCTCTGTCTCTCTCTGTCTCTCTGTCTCTTTCTCTCTTTCTCTCTTCCTTGCTCCCTCTATCCTTCCATCCCTACCAACAAAATCCTACCTCAGCTCTACTCAGGTTAATGCTGGACTGATGTGCAGGATACTTGAGTTGTAGTAGTCTCAGTAAGTAACCGGTCAAATGGGTGCCACCTATATTCAGCCTGCGGCAGTGGGCAGGGTCCAGCTGACCGTTGATGACCGGTAGAATGTGACTTGTCTGGAATCCAGAGGACAAGACTAGGCTACAACCATTCACTGCAGACAAAATTACAGAAATGAAATTTGTTGATGGAATTTAAGTCTAGCTGAGAAGCCCAATCCTTTCCAGGAAAGAAAAAGAGTCATAGGAGTTTTTTTTTTTTAACTTCTCTTACTAAAAAAACATCAATCAGGTGAAGACCAAGCCTTGCATTTTTTCTAGGCTTATGCTTCCACATTTACTTTCGCATCAGTTTATATGCAAAGATGACAGCAGAAACCCAGTTAGAAGAAGCAATTGGTAATTTCACGTATTCTGACATGTGTGTCATAAATTTCAAAGAGTCATTAGAACTATCCCTCTACTTACCAGACTCAGGACAATTGTAGTAGTGACTGAACAGACTGTCAATGCCATAGGCAAGATTGGGTATTTGATAGCACTCAAACAACAGTTCAGACATTGCTGTAAAGAAATGAAAAAATACAGAAAAGTGACGACTAATCATGGAAATTCGGGATCAATGTGAAATAGTACCAGGAAAATTACCATACAGATTTTTAAACTGAAACAATTTAATACGAGCTTTTGATTTGGCAGGAACTTATATCTCCTTATATTTTCCTAAACTACCGGCTGATTACAAACAAATACTAATTTTTGTTCTCATACATGTAACTCAATCACAAGTTCTTCTTCTTCTGGTAATCTCCAATGGGCTATGCAGCCTATCACAAAAGATAATAAACTAACTCTGCAGACCCGACATGGATTGTCTACTTCATATTGTTGTTTTTTTGTCATAAAGTTGCTCATGTTCATGTTTCACTTTGTGATGTAAAAATTACTCATCATATTCATATAACTGAGCTTAAGATATTTTTCTGACATTCAAAACTCACTTTGTCTGCACAGATTAGGATTACATGGTGTTTCTGTCATGACGATAGGGTGTTTGACAGCCCCCTCTGAGTCGATGCCTAATCGCTGAAACGCATGGTCAAGAATCTGCTCCTGAGCATCATAATGTGTCACCACGTCTCGATCAAACTGAGTCTTCAAGAGCCATCGTACAGTCTCCACATTCGGTATGTCGTTGCCAATTTGAGCATCTGAATCCTTCTTTCCCCTTTGTCTGGCGATGATGTTGCGAAAGGTGAGTCTTGGCGTACCTTCAGAAGCCCAACCAACCCTGCTAAAGCAAGACCCTGTTCAAATGAAAATATGCTTATCTTAGTACGGTAAAAGATATTTAAAAATTGGAAACATGTAATTGATAAGCGTATAATAAGCTATTATATTATAGTAATAAATGAGTTGATTTGTTTGTACCAACCAGCAATTAAATTAGCAGTACACTTTTCATTAATCCCCTACATTCATTCTATATCTATCTATCCCTCTCTCTCTCTCTCTCTCTCTCTCTCTTGATACAATCATATCATCAGTTTCAAAGCCTTAAATAAATTTTTGTCCCATCTAGTATGCTTTATTATTGATTTTATTAACCCCTAGTTCAATCTTTACAACATTACATACCGGTATTTGCCTCGATTTCCTTGTTTCTATTTCTTATCTATATTCACATGACCTCCCATCAGACTCTCTACCTCTCACTTACTTCCTCCTGTTAATATCTTTCTTCTTTTTTCATTTTTCTTCTTCTTCTACTTCTTCTTTGTCTAGGCTCTAGCTTCTTTTCTCTTTCAGTCTCTTCATACCGTCTTGGCATATGAAACAAATAAAAAAAACTTACCATTGTCAATGATAATTGGTACATTGACATTTTTCACTTTCTCTGGGTATGAGTTTACAGGATCAGCTTTCAACTTCAAGTAATCATCTTTGAATGAAAAGATGTTTCCCGCTGCATCACCTGAAACCAACCAATAAAAGGGAAAGTTTAATTATTTTATTGCAGTGAAATTCATGCAGCATAAATATATTGCAGGTCACAAGTCATTCTAAACTGTAATCCTACACGCTAAACATAATAATTCTGTGGGTATTTCGTCTTCTTGGAGTTGGGGTGGGGGCCGGGCCGAGGGCAGCCGGCAGCTAGAATTTCAGAAACATTTCCAATAATCAACAACTCGTAAATCATACCACAGATAGTACTAATCTGTGTAGATCTAGGAGGGCTCACAGTCATTTTGGTCATGTACAAAGACAAGGAACATGAGCTTCTCTTCCTTTAAAACATGTATTTTCAAGCTCGAACTAAGTTTGCTTAGCTTAGCAGCAAGCTTGCAACTTCACTCCAGCAAAGCATAGCCATAGAGAGTGAATGCTAATGCGTATTGACCTCTAGCACTGCACTATGTGGTAATAGGCAGCATTTGCACACATGAATAGTAAATACACTTTGAATACACACAATTATGCCAATGTGGCTGATCGGCAAGTTTGACAGCTGAAAGTACTCAGACCTCAGTTAGGCACATTCATGGGGCACTAGAGGGCGCTTTGCGCCCGTACGAAAATCTGAATGGCCTTGCTGCGGTGGGTCGGCAATAATCAGCCCAAAACTTGGATATGGGAGGGTGGAAGGATATATCTTTTTTATAATGTTATCCGGTCTTACCCTTAACCATCCTATGTTTAATCTATGTAGAAATAACATGCGAGTATGATAAGAGAAACATCGGGACCATTACTGAAGTAACTTTTTAAATATTAGCCTAGAAATGACCACCAAACGGAAAAAATTGACATTTTTTCCTGACAAATGTTCATAAAATCTGAGTTATAAACAAGTCACATCTAGGTACACTAATACAAATACGATTTTCTGAAAATTCAGGTATGATTTTTTAAAGTTTCTTTCAAGTATATTTCTGCGCATTGCAGTGCCAAAATTCTTCACCGCTTCAAAATCATCCTTGAATTTTTTTTTTGCAACGAATTTGATACGAGGTCCGCGAGTGTTCCCCGTTCCTTGCATGTTGAAAGTTTGGTAATACATAGTTTGCATTGACTCGCGCACGAAAAAATGGTCGAAAACGAAAAATGTCAAATGAAGAAATAAACAAGCTTTTGTAGATCTATAGTTATAAGAGTTCTACCAAGGTTTCTTTGTTGATTAATTTATTATATAGTCTCAATTAGAATTCAGAATTATCTCACTGAAAAGTTAAGAAACCGACGATGTTTTTGATCGTAGTTATTTTCATTTTGCCAGCAGCCGATCTAGCGTTGTTTGGGCAAAAAGCTAGGCCGCTGCCTTCCCACCTCGAACCTTTCCGAGTCCCGCTAAAATGGCGCTCTGCGGAGCTCCGAAGCTGCGTTGGTATCGCTGCAAACTCTCAGCCGGCCAGATCCCCACAACGGACCATTCGCGGTATGGCGAGAGTGTGTGTGTGAGGTATGATTTTGGATTCGAGAACGCACGTAATGCAACCGTGCGCGTCATTTTCAGCTGTCGAATGTATACGACCAATTTTACATGTACAATTTTTAGTACAGATACTTGGTCAGTTTTCTTCTTATATCTTTGGTTTTACAACATTTAAAAATATAATTTCTTCAAATTTGCTCCTGACTCGGTTCAGACTAATTGTCTGATGTGTTTTCAAGTCAATTTTTTTAATATATTTTTTTGCATGAATTTGCCTACCTCAGTAGACTTAGAGTAAAGGAGCCCGTTTTCGGCCACTTAAGACAAAATCCTATTTTTTGGACTCTTTACTTCCTATTTATTATCATTTCTTGTTCAAATCATGAAGCAAATATTATTATTATTTAAACAAAAAAAGAATCCCAGAAAAAAATCATGAATTGCCATGACAATATTCATTTCAATTTTCACAGTTTTGGAGCCAGTTATCGGCCGAGCGTTTCAGTTTACGGCCGCATGTACAAAGTCAATAGGAAGCGCTCGCGCGCGCCGTGCGTTTCCGCGCTGATGTGCAGCACAAGCGGGCGGAGCAGGTATCCCACGCCGGAGCTCCCTGGTGCTCGCCTGGCCGAAGACAGGCACAACAGTGATCGGAAGTTGGAATCTGAATTAGACAGACATATCGTGTGTGCGTTGCGGTGTGCGGCTGCATTGATTAAATACATGCGATGAGATACTTTTGAGCTTGCGACTAGCACAAAATCGGGCTCTAAATCTGAAAAATACTTGAAATAAAGCTCATTTTATGGTACCCATATTTCTTACAGACACGCGTAAGATACTCGATTTTTCAGATTCGGGTAGCGGGACCGCCGATTACATGATACATCGCTAAAATGTGATATTTTAGGATATATTTTTCATTGCAAATGTGGTTCTTCAGTGACACTGGCATGGTATGGTATCCGGGGATATGTGTTATGCTATTATGCGATGTATTTTAGAGTGATTTTACCTTGCATCCAACCAATCGGCCGAAAACTGGAGCTGGCCGATTACCGGCTCCTTTACTCTAGACTCTACAATTTGAATTTTTAAATTATTCTTTCTAACATTGGTAAGTTAAAAAAATTGTATTTTACTGGTATTTAGGTGTCATCAATTGTCACTAAAGTATTGATTTTGAAAGAAATCAGTTGAGTTTTGTACAGTGGTGTTTGAAATGTTGTGTGCAACTTCGCCGTTTCGCTGCAGTAAACAAACCTTAGGCCTACATAAAATCAAACGTGCGGGACGTGCACGTAAAAAAGTATCAACAAATAAATGCGTGAAATTTCCATTCTTTACACTTTATTTTACAAAAATACAAAATGTTGTTGTATAAAAAACCAACATACATATTCACATAACAATATGATTAAGAATAACTCACCAGATACAGATTCATGGGTCATAATTTTCTCCTTTTCCTCCTCTTTTCAACAGAGCCGCAAAAACTTGCTATGGAACGCCAACTTTTTTCTTCACATTATTGGATTTTATTCCTCCAAATGTGTAATACAAAGACGAAAACATACAATGCAATTGAACAAAATAAACGCCAATTCTTGTTTTTTCAAATATTTTTTTTTGTTATTGATTCCAAACAATACAAATCAATCAAGTTCAGTATTGATTTAATTCCATAGTAAAAAACTGTAACATCAACATATTACTTTTACATAATTATTATTAACATAGTACAATATTGACAGTAAAACTAACAAACACATATGAATTAAGTTGCTGTATATAAACCCTAGAGGGTTTGTCTGGACAGCTCAGAAACAGTAAAAGTAGTATATAGGAATCATACAATATAATACAAATCAATCTTAGAAATTAGATACAGTTGTTTTTCATCATGACATGAATTCAAACTGACATTTTCATTTACATTGTACGATTGATAAAACAAAAAATGAAATCAGTCGTAACATAAAACAAATAACCCCATCCGACCAAACACACTACTAACCCCACCCCCCCCCCCCCAATGCGACACACACACACACACACACACACACACACACACACACACGCACACGCACAAACACACACACACAAACCACCCGACCACACTTCCACAAGTTCCACACATATACCACACATAATTATTCCCAAACTCCTCAGAATACCCAAAATTGGAGCGACAAAAAAGTGAAAACTTCACAAGTTCCCAAAATGTAGGCCTAATGTTTATTTACCTGCCCTACCTGCAATATTCTTTTCTTTTCCCCTAAATTCCAACACTTCTTTTTTAAACTCACCCAAAGACAATATACGGACTTTCCCCTGCATCTATATATATCCAATATTTCATTGCAAAAATAATTGTATTAAATATCTTTATTCGTGGTAAATTACCGGACAACCCTAAATGAATATTTACCCAGTCGACAGACCTTAATTCCCTTAGCTCAAACTTAGCTATTACATTCTGCCATAACCTTTGAACATGTACATACTCCCAGAAAAAGTGTAAATATTTTCAATCTTTTGTTTACAATATGAAGTTATCTTCAACAAAGCCGAATCTGAATAAGTGTTCTCTATAGTAGGGGGCCTATATATTGCTCCATGAAGCAGTTGATACTGAATTTCTCTTATCTGTTAACCGAGAGTAGGCCTACTAAAATATCTCCCTACATACCTCATTTGAAAAATCTGAAAATCCCCGTCCATCACGAATCTTCAAAACCAAATAAATTGTGTAACTTCTCTATAAAATATTCATAAACCTTCCTCGATAATAAATCTCTCAGGAGCTTCACAATCCTGTTAAACTGCATCAAAATACATCCACTAAACTCCAGTTATCCCTTTTTCCGCTTCTCAAAATAACTTCCCCAATATTCCATACATCAACAATTTTGTTTCCTTTTAACCCCAAATGTTGAAAATGAGATATTGACCGCATGCCATTTTCAGCAAAAATATCTTGAACTAAAATTATATTGCGTGTAAAAAACTCCTCATCAATAGGCCTAATCTTTTCTTTTTCAATGAGGAATTGTTATTAAAAAAATAATTGGATTATTCTTTTCATCGAATTTCTACCTTCTAACTTTTCCCATGCTTTGATCATTTCTAAATAGAACTTAGGTATACAATCATGGTTACACACAACCAAAAAAGTCGAATTACTAGCCGCAGCTGATTAATTTTGGTAAACTTATGAGAAATATGTATTTACATGTCTCTACCAGAGAAAGTGTTTTAGTTTATTTCTTTGAGCCGGACTGCACTATACTTGCAGCATAGAGCTATATACTACTAATATATATCTCTTCGACTTGTAGCTACTTGCGCCCTCTATAGCAAACAGTGCCTATAAGCGGTGCTCGTTGGTCCCCAATTATCCCTTTTTTTCTTATGTTAATTGAGTGAGAGCTGATTAATGAGATAACCACCTGTCAGTGACCTTGCCGGGAGGTCTAATCCCTCCTGGCCAAACTAGTGCAGATATGCTTTAAGGTATAGTATGTCAATGGTTTCTCAGGTGGAGACAGTATGCGTACAATATTATGGCTCCCCAAAAGAAAATTCTTGTCAATACGATCAGTTAGTTCAACAACAAAAAATATTAAAATAACTGCAAGGTAGACGTTTAACAGTTAGTACTCTTCGTATGAATTTGGTTGAAGTTTTGTTTCCAAGCAAAAAAAAAAAAAAAAAGTAACGGCCGCTCCTGGGTGGGCTCGAACCACCAACCTTTCGGTTAACAGCCGAACGCGCTAGCCAATTGCGCCACAGAAGCTTGCATGTCCCTGGAGCGGCGTCTTACAAACAGATTCTTTATTTGGAGTGTTAGCGCCCTCTTTTTCAACATATTCCTTACTAAAAATGGTACTTTATTTCATATGGCCTCTATTTTATTCCAAATGCCCAACTATATAGTACTTAGTCAATATGAATTCCTACTGGCTACCAAAGAATACAATTAGTTTGGTTTATTTCTGAACAACATGAGCCAGGCACTGATATTATTGTTCTTTGCCTCAAAAGGAAAATAAAATTAATAACTATTTTTTTCATTTCATTTATTTTCATATTTCTCATGTTACATATACATATACATTTCAAAATAAAGAACAATTTTTGTTGTGTGTGTGTGACACAATAACAATCAATGATACATAATAAATAACATAGAGATAAGTGGTCAACATAGAGTACTGATTTAACTGAGGGAAATATGATGGGACCTACATGAAAGCAAGCCTGTAAAGCTTTAGGCCCCAGTTGATGTGGGAGACATTATTTTAAGTACACTTTTTTTGAAGGCCTTATCAAAACAGTCCTTTTATAAGATAAACAAACAAGCGGTCAGGGACCAACAACTCTAGGCCTCATATATACAAAAAGAATGATGATCATGCTGGTGTAGTCAGAGAAATCGGAATTTGGCATCTTTGCTGACTCCCTTAGGGAGAACATAATGAATACTGATGAGGCTACCCTGGGTAAACAAGACATATTATTATTATTATTATTATTATCATTATTATTATTATTATTATTATTATTATTATTATTATTATTACCCAAACTTTGCATATTTATGACAAATAAGTGAAAGTGTAAACAGAACAAAATAAACAAGCAAGCAAACAAGAAACACAACCAAACTGCAAAGACAAAACACATAGTTCAAACATAAATAATTTTTATTCGCCGGCAATCATTTGAATTAAAATATTTGTTATTAGTATACAAACAATAATTTTATATTGCTGATGATGATGAAAATGATGATGATGACGATAATAATAATAACAATAATGATAATAATAATGATGATGATAAGAATAATAACAAAGACTAATAATTATAATAATGAAGTGATAAAAATAACAATGATAATAATAATGGTGATGATGACAATTTGATTTGATTTGATTTATTTATTTCTGTTTGATTTTCTTTTTCTTTTGCATTTTTACAAATATATAACAAACAAAACATTGCAAATTTTACACATTTGTGTCGAATAAAGTAACTAATCGAAAACATCAAACGGGAGGGTTGACAAAGCAAGCAAAGCTTGATAGCAAAATAATACGAATATGGAGGAACAAATATTGGTAAAAGGGGAAAGAGAGAGAGAGAGAGAGAGAGAGAGAGAGAGAGAGAGAGAGAGAGAAAGAAAAAAGAAAAGATTATTATTATTATTATTACTGTCATCATTATTGAAACACAACTATACATCTAATGTAAGTGGCAATGTATAGTTGGGTTTCAATAATGATGACAGTAATAATTATAATAATAATAATGATAATTTCAATGATAATGATATTGGTGATGATAGAATGATGCATGATGAAAGAAAAGTGGAAGAAAGGGAAAAAAGAAGAATCATAGGAGAAGATATATTATGGTTGAGCTATAGCTAGGATCATGATATAGGAGCAGTCTGTATCTAGTTTACAAATAACTTAACAAGATAAAAAATCATCCTAGTATGATCAAAGTCATACTTTTTATCCGATGATGCATAGGAGATAAATCCTGAATGAGGATTATGTTAGGTGTGATGGGGTAATACTTCCACAGCGAGGATCACAGCGATGGGGTAATAGTGGATCCGGAGGAGTAAAAATATAAATCCCAGTTGTCACGTGACTTCATCGCTGTCGGTTGTTGATCAAATTACACGGACGGACTAGGGATTTTGAGGGTATTAATGTTCTCCAAAATCGATGTTTGAGTTAATACCAGGGACATGGAATAATGTCATTTAAGGAAGTAAGAGAATCGAATGCGGAATCTACTGTGATTTTGACATCGCCTGGAATTTTAAAGGGATAATTTCAACTTACAAGGTGTGATCGCAAACGGGTTGTGTGTTTGAGCACCGCACCTACCTGAGGGAGAGCCATTCGCTCAAAGACAACGCCCGGCTGAGCTACGGCAGCGGTCAATACATTGTTGTAGCCTACGCAGCTGCGGCCCACCGCGGGTAGGAAAAGAATTCCATTCAGATCGACTGCTTGAATAACATGGCTGCTGATTCGAGTGCTGTTTTACCACAGGTAAATTAAATTTTAACTTGATTAAGTTGAATAAATAGGTATTTAGATGGTGCCTAACATGATGTACTTTACCCGTGTTTAAAATTTAGAAAAAGAGGAAGTAGTGTGTAGTCTACCGTCTACAGTCTAGTCTATTTGAACTGTGTGTCGAGTGCAGTGTACTCTACAAAGTGTCCATGATGATGATTTTGATGGTGTGAAGTTTGAAAATTGTTTGAAAATTGTTCTTAACTCTTGGTCATGCAGTGTCACTAGAGAATTATTTTGAATGGTAGATATTACAGATCTCTGTTTTGTCATACTCGTACTAGACTAGTTACTATACTACCTTCGAATTCTGGATTTAAATTAAAAATAATTTGCCCATGTAAAATTTAGAGCAATTCAGGCAGCTAGCAGCTCTAGAAATGTCAACAAAAAGCTCCTATAAGTTTAAAATTTGTGTTGTGAAATACATGTAATGTTAGATATATCAGTCAGATAACCATGTATTACAACGACTCCTCGAGTGCAAGTGACATGACCTTCCATTAAGATCACCATCCAAAAAGACATGAATCAGTTTTGAACTGGGTTCTAAACAAGTGTCAGATCACTACTGCTAGACAAGGACTAGATCTAGACCGAAAACTTCAATCTCTCTAATCGTCGGTTGTTCCACTGAGACTACGTCTGGCTCCACTAGACCTCCGATGTATTTGGGAATGTCAACAAATGTCAGTTTTATTAAAGAAATGACCAAATCAGACGGTTATTTCTGTCTAGACAAGGACTTGCTTTTGATATTGATTGAAATGCTGAATTTATTATTTTCATGTACATGTATTTGTTATTAATTGCAGTCAATAATTTTGAGCAGAACAATTTCAACTCATTATTGTACATGATTATGAATTGTAATTGTACAATTCTGTGAATTTAATAAAGTTAATTGAGTAAGGTCCAGGGGGGTGTTTCACAAAGATCCTAAGTAGAACTTAACACTAAGTTTGACTTAAAATTTATGGACAGCCATTGGAGCCTTAAAATGAAATATACTCAAAAGCAGAAATTCAAGTATTTTAGACATTTTATAAATTCCACAACAAGAATATGAAATCTCCTTGATGATAAAAAATATGAATGATTTGAATAAACATTTTATGCCTTTCAAAAATATTTTTACCAAATATTTTCAAAGATGCTAATGGCTGTCCATAATTTTTAAGTCCAACTTAGAGTTAAGTTCTACTTAGAATCTTTGTGAAACACCCCCCTGGAGGCAATTAAGATGCGAAAGTCATAGGTCAATCACAGATCAGTCTGATTTATCCCTACCTCTATGTTACATGTATGGCTTCTGCTAAAGTAATTAAGGATAAGATACATGTACATGCAGTGCCCCTCCACTATATCATGCAGTGCATCTTCTTGCAGCTGTTCATTTTGTAATCTACTCACATAGTATTAATTACTTGCGCAAAGTGAGCTACATGCACATGCATTTAAGCTCGCCTATAGATGTATCTGATGACAATCAACATTGTACGTGTAGCTACAAGTGAGAGGGAGAGCTACAAGGCATCCACACCAGGGATCAGGCTTTATTTGATATCTATTCTAGATACTGTATAGGGTGTACACTGTAGGGCCTACATGTACCTTTTTTGAAAAACTTTCCTGTAAACTTGATTTCTCACTGATGAAGCAAAATATTGGTTTATCTGTGATGTTTGTTCTTGCCGTCCTTAAAAAATCAGTGCTAAACTTTGTCTCGACCTCACAGCACCATGGTGACACTCTAGGGACCTACGTGGAGCAGTATGGCGGCCATGAGATCCTGGACCTGTCTGATGCCAGCTTCCAGCAGAAGCTGGAACAGATCAAGGACCAGATCAAGAAGGAGATCCGCAAAGAGCTCAAGATCAAGGAAGGGGCGGAGAACATGCGCAAGGTGACCACCGATAAGAAGAGCCTGGCCAATGTGAATAACCTGGTCAAGCAGGCCAACGCGAGGCTGCAGGAGCTGCAACAGGAGCTGAACGAACTCAATGCAAGGATAGTGGTCAACACGGAGGATATGGCACCTTCAGGTAAGAACAATTTATATGTACATTTACTTCTGATTTTGAGAAGGAAAAGAATGAAAGTTTAGTGTTGGTAACTATTAAACTGCAATCATACCCTCTGGACCAGCACAAGACTGAAAGCAGGATGGCTACACACCCTGTAGATTTATTGGTTGGTTTAGAGTCAGTTTGACAGTTGGGCTGTGTGACTGGGTCATTAGATTGAAGTTACATTGTCATGCAAAGACGTGTCCCTAGCCTATTTAAGTTTTAACAGTCATTAAAGCAGTAATAAAAAGTGAACTTTACATGTATTTACACTTGTACATGTACATGTATGCTCATACAAAGGAAATGTCGCGCTGCTTTTGTGGAAAGGAAATGTGTGTAGTGTGCAGCTAATATTGGTAACAGGCCTCGAATTACATCAAATTTGGGTCAAGGCCACTTTTTTGAGAGGGCACAAATCCACTGAAAGGGGCACAAATCTATCCTAAGGGGCACTAAGGCCAACGTGGAAAGTGCGCGTAAAATTACCTCACGCCGTTGTTTTCAAGGTGGGGGGGGGGGGGGGATATGTGCACCCCGGGGCGGATCCAGGATTTCTTCCTTAGGGGGGGGGGGGGCCCACTTTTTTTTTTGTCCCCCAAAAAAATCGCAACGACTCAGCCAGCCGTTAAAAAAGAGGGGGGGGGGGGGGGGGGTAAGAGGACACTTTTTTTTGTTTTTTGGTCTCGAAATTTGAAAATTTGACATTTTGTTCCCTTTGGGGTGGGGGGGGGGGGGAGGGGTGGGAGGTGAGGTAACTTTTCTTATATCAGCCATTGGCATAATTTTTTTTTGTGTGTGTGTTTCATTTAAAAAAAAAAAGGGGGGTTTGCTCCAAAATACAGACATAAAAAAAACCGAAGGGGGGGATTTAACGCCCCAAACCCCCCCCCCCCCTGCGTACGTGCCTGCTCGTCTGAATACAGTTCCCCTCTCTCCGCGCAAAGCGCGGAAGCTTTTACGTTTCATTAAATCATTAGAGAAAGAAGAGGATTCGTTGTACCGTTTTTTACTCTTAATCCTCGTCTAAATTCATCCCCCCCCCCTCCCCCGCAAAGCTCGGAAGCTTTTACGTATCATTAAATCATTAGGGCCATTCCATGGTAACTCGCGTTACACTTAATGGGTACATTGACACGATAATGTGCCTATATCTTTAGAACTGCTAGGATCTACAAGATACTTTTTTCAAACATGGACAGGGTAGATATAGAACAACTGAATGAAACAAAAAAGAAAATTGAAGAACAAACATTTTTAGATTCTTGGATTATTGAATTTCGGTAACTCGCGTTACAAAAAAAGGACATGGTCAATTCTACGAGACCCTCTTTTCTCCTCATACTAGACAATCTTGACAAAATCTTTCCTATTTTAATTTGATAGTAGGTTGTGACTTACTAGTATAAGATCACAATATTAAAGATAAGAAACAGTGGACTAGTAAAATGCAGGAAGCAAATATGTCGGTAACTCACGTTACGGTAACTCGCGTTACATTTTGTCCGGAGGCCATTTTCACCCCTATGTAATAGATTAAATATCACAGGACCCCTTAGAATATGGAAATATATTCATCTTTTTCCATTTAGCGAAATTTTCAGGAAAAAATATTACAAGAATCCTGTGTAATCTGCAATAAATTGTTTTTTTTCAGCTACAGTCCCACATGTACGTTTTTGATGATAGTTTGAGATCTTAGGAAATCAACAAAAATGAAAAAAAAATTGTATTGAATTTGAAAGGCCCTAATGTTTTATGAACATCCATGGCATAAGGTTAGTGATAAATCAAAGAATTAACATAAGAGGTACATTTCTTTTTTTGATGTCATGTCCTTCTTCTCATGGAATGGCCCATTAGAGAAAAAAGACGATTCGTTGTCCCGTTTTTTACTCTTAATCCTCGTCTAAATTCATCCCCCCCCCTCCCCCGTAAAGCTCGGAAGCTTTTACGTTTCATTAAATCATTAGAGAAAGAAGACGATTCGTTGTCCCGTTCTCGACTCTTAATCCTCGTCTGAATTCAGTTCCCCCCCATCCGCGCGCGCAAAGCGCGAAAGCTTTTACGTTTTATTAAATCATTAGAAATAGAAGACAATTTGTTGTATCGTTCTCGACTCTTAATCCTTGTCTAAATTCAGTTACCCCACCTCCTGCGCGATCGAAGCGCGGAAACTTTGACATTTAATTTAATTATTAGAGAAACAAGACGATTCGTTGTACCGTTCCCGAAAATAATCCTCGCCTGCATGAATACAGTTTTCCCCTTCCCGCGCAAAGCGCGGAAGCTTTTATGTTTCATTAAATCATTAGAGAAAGAAGACGATTCGTGTGTGTGTGTGTGTATTTGGTTTTTTACAGACGTGTATCAATCAGATATGATTATTTACGTCTGGGGACCGACTTTTAACGTCACCATCCGAAAGACGTGACTCAGTTTCGAACCTGCGTTCTCGGCTGAATCAGTTTGTAACTTCCACTGTTAGCTGGATTACAGGCGCACGCCACAATGCCTAGTTTGTGACGATTCGTTGTACCGTTCTCGACTCTTAATCCTTGTCTGAATTTCAAAAATGTTTTTTGTCTGCTCCTTTTTCTTCATACGTCCTCTTCCTTTTCTCTCCTCTCTTTTTTTGGCTTTTTTTGGGGGGGCGCCCCCACTGCCCCCCCCCCCCCCCCCGGCTACGTGCCTGCGGTCAGATGAACATCTTTTGATACCTTGTTCGCCCCCGGAACTCATGGGTTGACCGTTGAAGGCAAATTACGGTCAGATAAGCATTCAGGGGCCCGCCTCAGGGCCCCTGGTGGAGTCTAGGGTGCGGAAACCCCTGAATTTCAGGGGTTTCAGGTATTTGATTACGGTCAGATGAATATATTTTTATACCTTATTTGTGACACTGGCAGGATACTGATTGGCGTGAGGTCCCGCGGGCGAGCCCCCAAAAGCCCATGGGTTTAAAGCATTACATTACCGTCAGATGAGTATCAAGAGGCCTGCCAAAGGGCCCTTGGTTGGGTCCCGGGGTTTTAGGCGTTTAATTACGATCAGATGAGCAATTTTTGATACCTTATTTTGTTGAGAAACTGGTAGTTAACTATTTTTTCTTTCTTGCTCTCTTTCTTTCTATTTCTCTTTAAAATGCTTTTCAAAAAAAAATTGGGGGGGGGGGGGAGCTGGAGGGGGGGGGGGGGGGGAGTTTCCCCCTTTGACGTTTCATTGAATTATTAGAGAAAGAAGATGATTCGTTGTACCGTTCTTGACTCTTTATCCTTTTCTGAATTCCAAGGGAAGCGCAGAAGCTTAGACGTTTTTAATAAATTATTAGGGAAAGAAGACGATTCGTCTCGATCTCGACTACCGGTATTATCCTTTTCTGAACTCAATTCACACCCCTCCCGCGCGATGGGCGGAAGCTATGACGTTTTAATTAAAACGTATGGTAAAGAAGACGATTCTTTGTACCATTATCTCGACTCTTAATCCTTTTCTGATTTAATTCCAGACCCTCCTCCCGAGAAAAATCCAAGTTTTTCACTGATTAAAAACTGTGAACACGCACCAAAAAAGGTCACAACGCGAAGTTAAGATGTTGAACCAACGATGGGTAAACAAAACTTCCTGATATTGATTGGTTCAAATAAAAAGGATGGATTGAAAAACTAAGCCTGAGTCATTACGGTTTTTGTGCCAAACGTTTCAGTCATTTGGATGAAGACATTCTTTCATATCTCCGTAAGCAATTAAGTCCCGCCAATTAATTTAGGAGTTCCATAGTGGAAATTAAGTCTCGCCAATAATTATTGTTTTAGATCTCCGTAGGGGCAACAAAGTCTTGCCGATTATCATTGTTTTAGATCTCCGTAGGGGCAACAAAGCCTTGCTGATAATTATTGTTTTTAGAGCTCCGGAGGGGCAACAAAACCTTGCCGACTATTATTGTTTTCAGAGCTCCGGAGGGGCAACAAAACTTTCCGGTAATTTTTGTTTTTAGAGCTCCGGAGGGGCAACAAAACCTTGCCGACTATCATTGTTTTTAGAGCTCCGTAGGGGCAACAAAACCTTCCGGTAATTATTGTTTTTAGAGCTCCGGAGGGGCAACAAAACCTTGCCGATAAATATTGTTTTTAGAGCTCCGGAGGGGCAACAAAACCTTGCCGACTATTATTGTTTTTAGAGCTCCGGAGGGGCAACAAAACCTTCCGGTAATTGTTGTTTTTAGAGCTCCGGAGGGGCAACAAAACCTTGCCGACTATCATTGTTTTTAGAGCTCCGTAGGGGCAACAAAACCTTCCGGTAATTATTGTTTTTAGAGCTCCGGAGGGGCAACAAAACCTTGCCGATAAATATTGTTTTTAGAGCTCCGGAGGGGCAACAAAACCTTGCCGACTATTATTGTTTTTAGAGCTCCGGAGGGGCAACAAAACCTTCTGGTAATTATTGTTTTTAGAGCTCCGGAGGGGCAACAAAACCTTGCCGACTATTATTGTTTTTAGAGCTCCGGAGGGGCAACAAAACCTTCTGGTAATTATTGTTTTTAGAGCTCCGGAGGGGCAACAAAACCTTGCCGATAATTATTGTTTTTAGAGCTCCGGAGGGGCAACAAAACCTTCCGGTAATTGTTGTTTTTAGAGCTCCGGAGGGGCAACAAAACCTTGCCGACTATCATTGTTTTTAGAGCTCCGTAGGGGCAACAAAACCTTCCGGTAATTGTTGTTTTTAGAGCTCCGGAGGGGCAACAAAACCTTGCCGACTATCATTGTTTTTAGAGCTCCGGAGGGGCAACAAAACCTTCTGGTAATTATTGTTTTTAGAGCTCCGGAGGGGCACAAAACCTTGCCGATAAATATTGTTTTTAGAGCTCCGGAAGGGCAACAAAACCTTGCCGACTATTATTGTTTTTAGAGCTCCGGAGGGGCAACAAAACCTTCCGATAATTATTGTTTTTAGAGCCTCGGAGGGGCAACAAAACCTTG